CGGGTGGTCCTCTGGATGGCATCAATGGCGTCAGGGCCCGTGGGGATGGTGAGCACCCGCGTCAATTACAAAAGTTTGCTTATGTTGCGGTAACCATTTCAATTTCATTGGTGATGTCATGTTCAAAACTATTATTTTTCATCCATTTATGCCGCAACATTAGCAGTGCCAAGTTTGCACGCCCGGCGGAAGCTGCGGCCGTAGGTCAATCCACGGCCGCCACCACCGGATGTCATTTCAGTCTTGCCCAGCGGAAGCTGTGGTCGTGAGATCACCTTCGCTGATGGCAACAGTGTGAATTCAGTTTCAAGCATTCACATGGAAATCACATGTGTTTTGCCCGACGGAAGTCGTGGTCGGCCGATTCAAGTGGCACGCTCCTGCAAAAGTCCAAATGCATCGCAGTTGCAGCGGTCATTGATACAAGAGGCCTCATAACACCATGGCTTGCCACCTATCCCACTGAGGCTCTACGTCTTCATTGTCTTGACCTCAGAGGACTTTGCTTCAGGCATGGGGGGGGAAACATGTACAAAGTACTGTTCTCACCAACGCACCTCTGCAAAGCGGGGGGTGTTGATAGGTAATGGCGTACCGACATAATATTGGCTCAAGTAAAACAAGCTGCTGCCCGTGCTGACTTTTAGGTAGATCCCACCTTTCAACACCATCTTCTCTTTTCCCAGGGATTTGGCCTGTTCTTTGAAGCTGAAGAATGGGGAGGGTACAGCTAGAACTCCTGGACATATGTTCTCATTTGCTTCAGGCAACTTAAACGAATGGAAGGTTTGCATTACGGGAAATGTTCGGAGAGCCACTTGAGGGGAAGAAGGAGAACTGCAGATGGCCGCAGTTCTCCATCGGCAACTTTGGTTCGGGATGTGCTGCATGTCCATAGGTGTCCTTTTTGGTTGTTTTGGTAGAAAAATAGATGGCGATTCGTTTGCATGGTGGTTTTTATGCACCTGCCAGGGAAACCCATCTATTTCCCCTAAAAGGACACCCATGTGCATGTCCTTTTACAATGACCACACCAAGGAACTCATTGTGAATGGGCCCAACGGTGATGCCGAAAAAGGGATGAGATACAAGGACCCCTACGCGTGATTCCACGCTACAGAGGCCAACGCCTATGCCAGACAAGACTGCGGTTTCTCCAATACTGCATGGCCTGATAGAGATTGTGAGTGGGAATATGTGCCGTCATCGAAACGTGCGTTGTATTTGAAATGTGTTTGGCAGGCGTGGGAATGCTAACTTCGGTTTTATCCGGAGGACCAGGTCCGGATTAGTCCGAAATCAACATCATAAGGGCTATTTGAAGGATGTTGCCCCAAAAAGAAATCAGGTACCCCTGGTTCTTGAGAGTGCATGGAGAACCATCCCCTGACCTCCAAACAACCGGGCTCCAAACCACCGATTGAGCCATCTTTGTTTCAAAAGGTGATCCCCTTTTTTCCTGGTCTTTTGCCTCCATTTGCTCAATAATATTTTTTGGGTATTTCTTTCTCCCCTTGTTGATTGAAAAAAAGAAATCATCACTACTGGACATATTTTCATGTGCTGGGCTGAGTTCGACTCCGCGCCGGGTTCAGCTGCCAACTGCTCAACCGAAGTAGACTGTGCATTGCCAGGCACGCCACTTTAGCCCGGCGGGGGGCTGGTCAAGAGGAACGTCATGGTTTTGGGAGCGCACCCCCAAACAGGTACTTGTTATGTATTATATATATATATAATTACACATTAACACAGTGTACATTATATATATATATATATATTTATATTAAACAACAAATGTACTAGTCCCTTGAAGTTGCCAGTTCCATCCTCAATGTGCTTGCAATAGAGTTTATGAGGAATATGCTACTTGAACGTGCTGCAGATGCCGGTGTTTTGTTCTTTGGGGGTACAATATGTCTGGATGGATGGATGCATGGATGGAAGGATGGGTGGGTGGATGGGTGGATGGATGGAGGGATGGATGGGTGGGTGGGTGGATGGGTGGATGGATGGACAGATAGATGCATCGACATGTACGTGTTTATATAACAGCCGTTCTGCACGTGTTCGGTTTGTGTTAATCAAGCCGTTTTGTTTCCTTCGGTTCTCTTGTTGTTTTTGATCTGTGTTCTATTTGCGTTTCCTTGCGTTTCCTTTCGTGTCCTTGAGCTTTCCTTTGGGCTTCCCTGGGCCTTCTGCCGTTTGCATCCCGCATGCCTGAGTCCTTTCCAAGCGAGCCTTTGCGAACTTGACTTGAATGTGCCAAGTTGGCAAGAAGAAGGGCTTCCATTTGATTAATTAAGAATATGTTTAATTTTCCCCTCTTAGTTTCAAAGAGAATTTATCACTACTGAACATATTCATTTTTTGCAGAGGGCTTCAGCAAATGGAAAAGGGGGGAGCCCAACAAACTTAAAACAAGGCGTTCTTCAGGGCTTAAGCTAATGTTGGCTCCCTTCCCCCATAGCTAGAACTGGGGCGAGGGGCTACTTTTATTACACATGGTATGAGACCAGCACGTGGCACCTGCGCGGTGATGGATAGACCGATTCAAGGCTCAGGATTCCTGAAATATCTGGGGGTTGTTTCCATTTCCATTCTGATCGACCATCGTTCTTTTCCACACCGATCGCTGTTTCCACAGGGTTTTTGGCGGTTTTCTGGAAAGAAGGATGCCTGGAAAGAATGGGGAAGCTACCGATGATAGCTATGTGTTGTTTAAAGACAAAAGGAGAGTGACGCCAATGCGTCCAAATCTGTGTCTGCGTTTAGCATTTGGCGTTTCCTTGTTGTAGAAATGCACAAAGTCACGGAGCCTTTTGGTTTTATGAAGCCCAGGTATGAACCCCTAGATTATGGCTTCAGTAATCATTTGTTCGCCCGAAAGGGTCCAAGATGGCCATGGGTTCAGGTTGACCTATAGAAGCAGGCTTTGACCAGAGGACATGTCAAGGTCAAGGTCATGTCTCAGACCCCACAGAACGCAACACGTGTCCTGTTGATTTCCCTTTCAACTCAAATAGTACGTGGTACACAAACCAAAAAATACGAGCCACGTGTTGTTTTCTCGACTTCGGCTTCGGCTCTTGACCCAACTAGCCCAGTTACGAGACCTACGAAGCTGGCTGAACATCCAAGTGAATGTGGAGACAAGGAATCATAGGTGTCCTTTTTGGTTGTTTTGGTAGGAAAAATAGAGGGGTGTCGATTCCTGGTTTACCTGGTGGAATTTGTTCATCTACCAGGGAAGCCCCATGAATTTCCCTTAAAAGGACACCCTATGCAAGGAATGTATGGCAAGCGGGAAGTTTGGATTTAGTTTGAACAGATTCAAGAAGTGAGGTCCAGTTTGGATCGACCTTTACATCTTACATCGTTGACATGACAATGGATAATGTTTAAGACCTCACTGAGATTTTCAGATAGACAGTAGACAGTAAAGGCATCTTTTTTCCAATCAACTGGAAGATGAATCAGGCATTAGTTGCCACCAACAAACACCCGTTTGAGAATCATTGACCCGTTACTTCAGTTGTTGGCTACTACCCAGTGCCCAGTGGTGCCCTTTTTTCCTTTTTTTGGGGAAGGGTTCCCCTTTCAAGTCAACCATCCAAAAAGGGATGCTCTTCTTTCCCCATGGCCACTGGGCATCTGAGACTATGCACAATCATGCAGAAAAAGCCCATGCCTCAGCTTGCTCTACGTAGCTAAAGCCCCCTGTCCCCGCTGGACCGGCTCGTAAGAGGTGTCAAATCGACATGGGCACGGGCGCCCGGCAGCAAGATAACCAGGCTTTGAACACGCAGAGGATTGCTCCTCACTGTATAAAGCATGAATGTGTTGACATCACGACGTTGAACATAGGTGTTGGATCCTCTTTTTTTTTGTTAGGTGCCCCTGTGTCGCATGGGCCTTCGGCTCTGGGTGCTCATGAGATTGGTCTGTTGAGGGACCCGCCCATTTTGGCGGCTTCCCTTTGGTTGTCCGCTTGAAAACCGCGCCCATTGCCAGAAGCAGTCAAGAAGCCGCTATGAAACGAGCAGGGGGTAGGAAGTACGTTGCTGCAAAACATGCGGTTCCCCAACAAAGCCATTGGAGCCATTCGTGAATATTCAAGAACTTCTGTGAACGGCCGAAAAAGCCGGTTTGATTGGCAACACGAGCGGTTTGATTGGCGGGAAACCCCGGTGAAATTCAGACGACCAGCTTGACCTTGCAAAAAGTCATGTTCCCGCAAAAAAATGTTTGGAGGCAGAGACTCCTGTTCCCAGACTGAAAAGCTGTTGTTGTTCAAAAGGCGCACATTTTACACACCTTGGGATCTTTAGGATGGCTTTTCGGGGGTCCCTCTTTGCCATTGCAATTTGTTTGAGCTAAAAAGAACCATGCACAACCAGCAGCGCGACTGCGATTCCCTTTGTCCGCCAAACCTGTTTGTGCGCTGTCCAGCCAAGAACTTGTGGCCACAAGTGTTATTTTCAATCTCACTTTGGTTGAACATGGATTGAACCCACGTGGGATGTGTTTGAAGAGAAGCCAAAAGGACCTCGTAGCACACCAAAAGACAGGCACGTCCGTGGCTCCCTTTTTGATATTCCAGAATATGCAGGGTTGCCTGAAGGATACATCGTTGACATGTTCGACGCATCTTTTCTCTGACTCGGGCTCAACGGGCTAGCCTGGGTCGCTGTTCAACCATTTGCTGAACAATCCTTTTGTTTGTTTTGCCTTGCTGCTTTCCAAGGAAATCTATCACTGGAAATATGTTTAAATTTTCCAGGGGGCTTAGTCTCTTCTTGGCAGGTCATCAGCCGTAAAGCTGGTGTCTTATTGAGTGCTAGCGCTCGGCAAGTGGAAGTGTTCCAGAGTCTCCCGGCTCATAGCGTGCGCGGGAGGGGCGAAGGGGCGCTCCCTTCGCGGATCGAGCGACGCGGCGCCTGGGACTTGTCCTCGCTCTCTCCCGGGGCCCCGTAAGCCGCCAGCGGGGCGAGCTGCTCCGTATGGCGCTGGAGGTGGACGAGCTCTGCAGCGCTGCCTGGCCTGTGGATTCCGGTGTTTGCTTTTTTCTAGGGGTAGCTTCCATGTCATTCCTTCCAGGGATCCGAATGTTTTCAGAAAACCACCAAAAGCTCTGGGGAAACAGCCGGATTCTGAAAAGAGCGATGACTGAAAAGAATGGGGAATCAACCCCTAGAGTTTTGTTGGTGTTTGTTCAAAGCAACATAAACACAGGGCCAAATTCCCAAACAAACTATGATGAGCAACTTGCTAGGATCCCTGTGTTTGTTGATTGTTTTTGCCGGGCGGTTGCCCCAAATTCCCACAACACAACTTTGGCGTGTCTCAAGTTTCGATATCCGAGCTTTCCTTTGGCTGCCCTCCATAGCAACCCACACAGAATAGCCCGAACAAAAAGACACCCCCCATGTGTGTGTGTGTGTGTGTTTGGTGAGGGTACTCTTTCTGGGTTGTTTTGGAGGACAAAGGGAAAAGCTACCCATTTTAGTGCTTGCATTCGAGGACCAGCCCCCTTAGCTTTTGATGCTTCCCCCCCCCCCTCCTAGCAAGGCCTGGCCTTTGCTAAGGCTTGGGAAACTCGGGAAGGAACCGCTTGCAATCCATTGTCCTCGCTCTCTCTCTCTCTCTCTCTCTCTCTCTGTGAGTTTCTGGCAATACCTTTTCTGCTTTTGGCCAAGCCACTCAGGAGTTGAGTGATGTGCGTGGACTAAGCAAATGCACCACCTGGCAGCCTGGTGGCTCAAACCCTATGAATAGATAGCATGAGCCAGCCGGCGCGTAAGATTTCGTGCCTCGAGCCCCTGCCGATTTCAAATCGGCTGCAGAGTTCGGGGGCTTCCAGTTTCCGGGGCTGGGGATACCTGGGCTACTCCTGGCTCGGCCCACGAAGCGAATCCGGCGGGTCTGACCTGTTGGGCTGGCCCCAGACGCGAGAAATTCGTCATGGCCCCAAACGTGCTGAATCGCCCATGTTTTGTGTTTTTGTCTGGCTCGACTGAGGGCAACGGAGCAAGAGTGTTCTGCCGCTTCTTCGCGCGGCGCGCTTGTCTAGTTGCGCAACAAGCAAGGAGTTTGGTAATCTAAGGGGGATCGGGGGGATCGGGGGGATCATTCTAAATGACTGTGGGTCAAAAAAAATAGAGGCTGGGGGTACGCAGGTTTTAGTCTACCTTGCCATTCTGACCCCTTTTTTTTTGAGCCTGAGCCGGAGCCGTCTGGGTCCTTTCCAGGTGAGTCACTGGGTTCTTGTGCTCAGGCTCTGCAGCGCCGGGGTGTCGCCAAGGCTGTGCCGGCGGCGTTTGCCGCTCCCGGCGCTCAAAAGGCGGCGGCGGCGTCACCGGCGCCTTCGAAGGCGCCCAATGGCGACGCACCAAAGAAGGAGAAACGCGGATGCAATGAAATATTTACATTTGTATATATCCAATGTGTCTAATTTATCTATCGATTATCTAATTGATCTATCGATTAGTTATCTAATCTATCTATCTATCTATCTATCCATCTATCTAATCTAATCTAATCTAATCTAATCCAATCTATTCTAATCTAATCTAATCTAATCTATCTATCTATCTATCTATCTATCTATCTATCTAAATCAATCTAAATCAATCTAATCTATCTATGAAATCTAATCTAGTCTATTTATCTATCGATCTATCTATCTGTCTATCTATCTATCTATCTATCTATCTATCTATCAATCTTTCTTTCTTTATCTATCTGTCTATCTATCTATCTATCTAAATCTAATCTAGTCTAGTCTATTCTAGTCTAATCTAATCTAATCCTAATCTAATCTAATCCAATCCAGTCCATCTACCTACCTAGCTATCTATCGATCTATCTGTCTGTCTATCTATCTATCCAATGATCCATTGATTCACTATTTAGTTGTGTATTTATGTACTTATTTAATGTATTTATGTATAGATTCATCTTTGTTGTGTTCATGGTGTTGGCTTACTATTTAGTAAGTGTTGTGGTATTGTGGTTTATGTAGTTGTACGTTGCTGTTATTGATTATGTGAGCAACTCTTTTGCCCCTACTGGGATCTTTGTTGAATTCATGCTATATTTGCAGGTTCATCAACCATGGACCAGGGTTTATATTTTGGTTGCCTAGCTTTCCCCCATCCAGTTCCGCAGCTGTTCAGTGAGGTCAGTGGATGTTGCCCTTCAAACAAAATCTCCTTTGGGTTCCTAAGAAATGGAAGGGGAGGGGGTGACCCCTGGAAATCCATGTCTGTTTCCCTTTCATGGGGAAGGCTCGATTTTTTTGAAATTGGGGGCCCCCGCTCCCCTCCCCCGTAAGGTAAGGGGCATAAAAAACATATACCTTCTTTTGGTCGTTGGGTTCCCTACGATGTCCTTTTTGTACCAGGGTTACTTGGCACCTGGGAAAGAGCATCCGGAACTGGGGCTGAAGACTACCACCCTTGGTCCAACTGTTTGGGAACTCTCTAGCTGCAAAAGGCAGTGGTTTGTTTGCGCCCGTGGGTTGCATTTGGTTTTCCAACTGTGGTGGGAAAAGGCGAATTGCTCCGTCGCCATGGGACCCGGAAAGGTTTCTGCCCAAAGCTTTGAACTTGGTTCACCTTTTGGAGGGGGTTCCATTGAACGTCAACTACCCCGAACAAGGGTAATGATCATTCTTCCCGTGGAAGTCCACGGGGGCTCTGGGTCTGGTTGCCATCTTCCACTTTTAGCTGATTTCAGAATGTCAGCTAGGGTAAGTATGACTGTTCTTCCGGGCATTTTTGGAAATGCCCAAAGGGAACTTCCAAAGGTCTGGGGAAATCTGAAACTAAACAGTGGGACGGAGGGACGGAGGGAGGGAGGGAGGGAGGGAGGGAGGGAGGGAAAAAGAGATTTTAATAGAAAACTACATGTCTATTTTTCCAGCTTTTTTTGTCCATGTTCCAAGTGCAATATTCCAACTTGTATGTCTTACTACGTGAGTCAACGTTAGTCACCACCAGGAAATGGACCGCTGGTTTTCGTCCATGTTTCCATTTAGCAGGGGCGACCCATTTTAGCTACCCATTTTTGGACCCACAGCCGCGTTTTTGGATTTGGACCGTTTTCGTGGTAGACAACCAGTTTGGTTACGTTATTTGGCCACCCACTCCATGTTCCATGTTCCATGTTTCACTACATCCTTGACTGCTATTGGGTTGGATCTTTAGACTTCAACTTTTTTGGTTGAAATCAAGTTGGGTTTTCCACTCAACCCAGAAAAGTGGTCAACTTTTTGCGGAGGGGTCGTTGCAGCAACCAAGCATCTTCATTTGTTCCACTTGTCTGCAGATCGTTGATTTTGCCAAGGAAGGTGAAGGAGCCCAAGGTGGCCAAGGACGGTTGGACGCAACCGGTTTCGGGCCCCCAACGCGGGAGTTCGGTCGGTCCAGAAGGCGATCTAAATCCGCGGGTTTTCGGTTCTAGTTTCAGCCATTTTAAGAGTCACCCCCCAAGCTGATTTAGAGGACCCGGATCGTTGTGAAGCAGGTCGTTTGTGGATGTATCCGTTGGGATCCGTGTTGTGCCCGCGTTTTGGAAGAGTATGTGAAGAGTGTTTGAGCATGTTCATTCCAGGCTTCCCCTTAAAAGAGTCTCAGAGCTTACTGAAACCATGGCTGCTTTTTGCCTGAACAATCCCGCAAGCGGACAAAAAAAGGCACATCCACCAAAGGGTTGCCTACTTCACACCTATGAGCCCGTACTGGACATGGGTAGTTTGTTGAGTCTCCTGGTTCCCGCGGAAAAGTTAGAGCTCGTCCTCCTCCTCGTCCCCAATAGGCAATAGGCTGCTAGGCCTGCATTTTGACCGAACCTCACCTCCACACTGCAAATTCCTCCAGATGGATGGTTTCCCAGTGGTTTTCCTTTAAAGCGAGGCAGAGAGAAAAGAGGCTATGCACCTTGAGCAGAGGAGAAGCCGCAATGGGGCGAGCCTGGCAAGGGCAAAGACAAGAAGAAGGAGAAGAAGGTGGAGCCCGAGGTGCCCCTTGTCCAGACGCCGCATGGTGAGAAGAAGGACGCCAGCCGTGGTTAGTCGTGCACTCCATGCAGGGAAATGTGGGGTAAATATTGCATAACCGATTCTGTGGGGTTTGGGGTTTTATATATTTTTGGTTTTGTCTGGTTGTCTTCAACAGGGGTCAGGCGAATTCCCCAAGTCAAACGTTGCAACTCGTCGTTTTTTTGAACTTGCGCCACTTTTAGAGGTTCCAAGAAAGGGACACGGACTCGCAAGACCTTTCAACGCAGTGGGGATTTGTCCCGCACACAAATGGTTGGAAGAGACCGCTCGAAAGCACATCACCGTGCCGGGCGAATTCTTCGTAGCAACGTGGTCATCGGGATGGGAAGGTTCCGCAAGTATGGCAATTCCTTAGATTCCTCCGAAATACAAGTGGGAAACCAAAAGGAAACCACAGATTTTGAGGGTTCCCCGATTGAAGAGTATATAGCAATTTGGTCTTGGTAGTTGTGGTGTGACCCCTCTCTTAGATTCTGGCTTGGAACATGTCCCCAAAACTCGCTCAATCCAAGTTTCCCGCTACTTTTGTTATGTAGGCCCTAGTACTTTTCTCCATGGCTCCAACTCCAAGAGCCATCCTGGTCCTTTTCCGAAATGTGTTTCTTCCCCCTCCCCCCCATTCCACCCGGTTTTTCCCGTTCCCCCCCCTTTTTCCCGAAGCCCTTCCGATCCTTCCGTCCCGAGCCGCTCCCAGCTCCGCCCGCGCCGCCCAGCTGGAAGCCCGCGGCGCAGGACATGAGCTCGGCCATGGCCAGCGCCTACAACCCCAAGGCCGTGGAGAGCGCCTGGGACGCCTGGTGGGAGAAGCGCCGCTTCTTCACCCCGGACCCCAAGGCAAGGAGAGAGCGACCGAGATCGGGCGAGATCGACGTGACAAGTCGCGAGGGAGCGAGCGGGTGACACACCGCGAGGGAGCGTGCGGGGGGGGTGAGGTTGCGAGGCATATGGTGCTTTTTGGTGGCTGCTGTTGTTAAGCCCCAAAAAGTCTTTTAAAAAACGTTTGGCGGGCTCAAAAGGAGAACCAACTTGAATTCAAGCAACAAGATATAGTCTAAAGATCCAGCGTAATAGCAATCAAGATTCGGTGCGGCGAGATGAGCGAGTTGGCGATGCAGCCTGGGCGAGTCCGGCGATGAGCTTGCGCTGCCCGAGTCGAAGTCTCGTCGGTGAGACTTGATGGGGATGGGGACGTGAGCACTGAAAGTCTATTGTGCTCAGTTGTTCAGTGGCACCCTTTTTCCCTTTTTTTGGTGGCTGCCCCACTAAAAATGGTCTTCCCTTTAAAAGGGTCACTGAACAGCTGAGTATGGCAACTCATGTTTCTTTTTGTGGGAAAGACTGGATAAATGGAATTGGGACCTCAAGGCAGGGGGATTCGCACAGGGGTTGACGTGCCAAAAACGGGCAGATGGGGGTGCTGAGACTTCCATAATCTGGGCCTGAAGATTCACCCAAAGCCTCGGAGCGTTTCGCTCTGAATCTGCGTCAAGGAGGTGGCTTTTTTTTTACTTATAGGGTTTACTCCTATTCGCTTAGCATACGAGTTACAGGCAATTGTGGCATTGGTTTGTCTTTGCACTGGCAAGTGACCCTGGAATCATAACTCGTTTGACTGTTTCGGGTTGGCAAAGGTGGTGTTGCGTTTTCTTTTTCTTTTTTTTACATTACTTTGACAATAGTCAATGTTCAGGGCGACGGTAGACCACACCCAAGAGTTTGGGAATAGGTTGCGCCTGGAAGTGACTTGAGCCATGCCTGGAGCCGAATTGGCTTTGTGAAGGTTGAGGGGGGGGTGGTTTAAGTAAAGCCCCTTGCTGGTTCACAGTAGCAAATGAGGGAACCCCTCCAAACCCACACCCCGAAATTGATCCCGGCAGTTGGTTGCATGTGGATGTCGCAAGTCCAGGTCCCTCAATTTCTCTTTTTTGCACCTGCAGCAGATGCATTTGTTTGGAACCCAACAGTAAACTGCAACTTCTGAGGGCGAATCCGGCGACCCCGGGTATGTCTTGTTTGGAGGGCGCCCCCTTTTCAGTGGTGTCAACTCAAAACCACAGGCAAGCCCTCAACAAAAAAACAACAACACATCCATGCCAAGCACCCGACAGGGGCTTGTCGGAATCCCATGCAGGCGGCACAGGGCGCGTGCGAGGCGCAGCGCTTCATCATGGCGCCTGGGCGGCGTTTCTTTTGTTGAGGGTACTGTGTTTTTGGGTCGTGAGGGAAACTCAAAAGGATCGCCGGGGTGATGGGGTGGGGAGGGGCGGGGGCGGTCCTTAAAAGGCGGGGGGATCGGTAACTTTCCTGGGGGTCGGTGGTAAAAACAAAAAGTCAAGCCTCCCCTTGTGTGTTACATGGGTGTGACCATAAAAACATGGTAATGCACAGTGAATCAGGGAGCTAAGAGTTCGGAGACATGGTGAACTCCTCAAAAAGCAAAAAAACGGTCCCCTTTTCGGATGGTTTTAAGAGGAGACCGAAAGGAAGCCACCCACCTGAAGGGGTCCCTAATTTTGACATAGTGAGCTTGTGGGGTTTGGAGGGGATATGTGGGGGTTGCTCTTTGTGGGGGTTGCTTTAAAGAAAAAGCCCAAAGGAAACCGCAAGATGGTTTGGGGCACCCTATCTCAACATATATCCGTATGGAATGTCAACATGTTGACGCGGTTAAAGGGAGGCCACATGAGTCGGCCCAAATCAGGCAACACTTAGCAGAGTTAGGGCGCTGACCTTTGCCACTTGGGGTGATGTCGCTTGCCCCGAAAAAGTTTTTCCCGTGCAGAATCCGGAGACTGGCGCAATAAGTAAAACTATGTTCGGCGCAACATGCAAGCAGTGCTTGCAACCCCAAACGTTTAGCTTCCGTTTTGGGGCTGAAGCTCATCTCGCGGGGGCCGTTTTAAGCGAGGGGTCATGCCCCATTTTGCTATGCCTGAAATAGGGCACTTCACCTTCAGAATTGTTCTTCCTGTGGTCTCTCTGTACAACTAATCGCCCCAAAAAGGGCACCTTCAAAAAGAACACACCCGTTCTATTTGCCAGTCTGATGATATAGTGTCCATGTTGCAGTGTACAGGGCAAGACACAGAAACAAAGGCAATGACATACCAAAACAATGCAAAGCAATGCACCACAGGCGAACGAAACAAGGGCGGGCAAACATTCTGCGAGTGTAAGAAACGATGGCAACAAACAGCAAGTCTAAAGACAACAAAGTGCCTTCACGCGCAACCTGGAATGCAACGAACATGGCAAGAACTGCAGCGGTCTGACTTGAGTTGGCTGAAAGTGATGCGTGGGTTGCAAGCCACGCCCCTGAAAAATAGCCAACAACGGCTGCTACAGGAAGCCTCCTACAGGGTTTCCTTTAACAAGGCCAGCATCTGGTTGCTACAAACTTGTAACGGGTCCCGCGGTGTACGCCCAAGGGCTAGCTGGTTGGGATCGCCCAAGGGTTCACATGCCAAGAGCCAGGGGTGCAATCCGAATCGAAGCAAATCCCAATGAAAGGACGTGTGTCCAAACCAGAAGCGCATATTTCAATACTGGGATAGTTGCAAGATCAAGCTACATAACATGTGCTGCCTCAGAACTGTATCTCAAACAATTATAATTATCCAGGGAGAAGCCAATCACAGGATGACATTGGAATCGAACAACAACAACAACACACTGATGTATGTTCTATGACCTTGTTTGAAGCTGCTCCGAGCTTCAAGATGATCACAAGTAGAGATTTGGTTTCACCACCAGCATGACCAACTTGTGGAATGAACATCAGGAACAGGGTTGCCCTCTTTGTTAACGGGGGTTAGTCTGTGGGAGGCCCTTTTTGTTGTGTAACAGAAGTGGAGTCCATTTCCCACAGCCCTGATCAGGAAGTAAGCTGAGCCTCCGGTCAAAACATTGTGCAGCCTTAAGAGGTGATCCCGCCGCCAAACGTCACGGGCAAGCTGCACCTGGGCCACACCCTTACTGGCGCCATCGAGGCGCCATGGAAGTTCCATTTCTCGAGTGGTCAAGCTTGCTGGTGCGATAAGTAGGGAATGAGGGAATGACCCATAGAAAGTATGCCCTATGGTTTCCCAAAGGGGACCCCTGCTGGGTTCATTCCCACATTCCCTGCTGAGCACCTGCAAGCAAGAGCATGTTCAGGCTAACCACCTACCCCCGTTGAATGAAACACGGATAGGTCTTCAAACGGTGTAAAAGCAACAGAGGGTTTCTGAAAGAGTCTAAGCTGACCAGAAGTTGAGGGTCGGGGGTAGCAGGCGTCCCCCCTCCCCGTTTCCCTTCGCGAGAGTCTAGGGTTGGTTTCAAGCGCTGGCCAAATGGAAAAGTATTCTTTTTGTCATAGCCAAATCCCATTTGGGGAGACGAGAATGCTTGCCTAACCAGTTGGCAGACTTTGAGCTTCGTGTTGGTAGGTTTATTGACCCAGGATTGGTTGTCGTTCGGCTGTCAACTCAGCAGGCGAGAGTGGCAGAAACAGCCACTGACATGAGCTGTGTTTGCCTGAGGCTAGCCTAGATGTCGAGCCATGAACCAACATCTTGACCCTTATGAAAGCCAAGGATAAGCCAAGGATAAGGATAAGCCAAGGAAAAGCCAAGGATACTCACTTGCCCAAAGCCGACCTTTTCTTCCCCAGAATTAGCTCCCCTTCTTGTCTTTTATTTCGCCTTTTGGGGGGTCCCTTCTGTTTTCCACTCACCAAGGCAAAAAAGCTCTATCTTTTTGCCGGGGTCCTCTTCTTCCCTAGCTTTGACCTGGTGGTTTTCCCGTTCTTGGTCCATTTGTAGAAATGGCCGAAGAGGTGGGAGGTCCAAAGGTGGGCAGAGGAGACCTCAAGGCCATGGCCTTCCCAGAGGCCTTGAAGAGGTCCATGGAGCGTGTCTTGTTTGGTTGGAGCTCGTGGTTAAAAACCCGACGTGTTTGAATCTGGTCCTCCTCCATTGGGCTAAAATGGATATGGTGTAGTTTATTATTTTCCAACTTGTGGGTTTTAAAAGGAAGTCATCGCTGCTGGACCATAGTTTCTTTGATCTTTTTTTTGGGGCCTTGAGAAAAATGGAAGTGCTTGGTACCTAAAAGGCCCCGGAGAAAAAACGGAAAAACCTTGTGGCATGGGCTTCTCAGCTCATTTGACCTCCAAAAGGTTACTGCCTCTCTGTCCAGCAGAGAAGCTGACCATCGGAATTTCTTTAGAGGATGAACGCTTGCCTTTTGGGGAAGCAAGCCGAACCCACGTCCATGCTTTGTTGGAAAGAGGTCGATCAGGGGAAAAGAAGAGCTCAGCATGTTGGGACCAATGGTCATAGGTGTCCTGTTTAGGTTATGTTTGTTACAAGTAGGTCAGTTTGTTCAGGTGTCCTTGTTTGATACGTGTTTAGATTGGCCCATGTCCCGATGCCATTCTTTTTATCCCAAAGCTCAGCCATGCGACAAGTCGCGGGTTTGTTTGGGACCCTTTTCCTCCATTTGCTGAAGAATATGTTTTCTCTCCTGTTGGTTTTAAAAGGAATTCATCACTACTGGACATATTTGTTTCATTTTTTCCAGGGGCCTTAACCAAATGGAAGTTTTGCAGGACGCGCTGTGCCGCTGGCACCGCATGTGCGGGCACACCACGCTCTGGGTGCCCGGCGTGGATCACGCGGGCATCGCCACGCAGAGCATCGTGGAGCGGCGCTTGCTGACGCTCAGGTCTCGAGAAGTTCAGACCGGGAGGTCCCGGGGGTCCCTACGGCGGGAGGGGTGGATTCCCTGCCTCCATTTGCTTAAGACTTTTATATTACTATTATCATTTTCCCTTGTTGGGTTTAAAAGGAATTCGTCATTATTGGAAAAAATGTATTTTGTCCTGGGGCCTGAACCAAATGGAAGCCTGTAAAACCCAAGAAAGGGTCGTCCGGGAAGCAAAAAAGACAAACCAAAAAAGGGTCCCCCCAAACGAAACCAAACACACAAACAAAGCATATTGCGGATGGCTGCGGATTCGCGAATGAAGGAAAGACAGCACCAGTGAGGGATGGTTTTTCTAGGGGTTCTTCCCGAATTTCCCTGCGAAGCAGCACGTTTTGTTTTGTCCAAATACCGCGGATGGTTGCGACATCCAAATCGGCACGACCGTTCAGAAACCCAACGGAATGATTCGACTCCCCTGCAAATACCAACAAACAATGATGTCAACGTCTTTTCTTAGGTGCGAACGGAAACTTTGAAACCACTTGAAAGCATGGTTGAAACCTTTGTTTGTTGGCATTTACAAGGGAGTCGAATCATTCCAGGGTTTCTGAAAGGATTGAATTTCGTCCATCCACTGCATGTTTCCCTTTCTCGGTTGTTCAAAGCCTAGGTCCCCCAGTAGTGCCCTTTTGAGGGTTCCCCTTCTAAAAATAAACTACAGAAAAAAGGGTACCTTTATTCTATCCTCTCGACTGAAGGACCTAGAAGCCGATGTTTGGAGTCACGATGGAATGATTCTACTGGGTGAATTATGACGACCTCACACGACCTCATCCCAAATGGTGGTTTATGTGGGGAGTAGCCCCCCAACCACATTAATTCAGGTTGGTGAAATGTTATAATTCACCCAGATTGTACCTGGAGTCCCCATGACCCTTAAGTGGTGGCTCATGACCCCTAATCAACCATTTTAAGGCTCCCAAGTTCGAAGGAGACTCCGAATGATACGTCTCCAGCTGTCGTTGGGTCCTGTCAAGTTGAGAAACGTCTCCCTCGTTTGGCTTTTCTGGCAGAGGCGACGAGGTGCGCTTTTTGAGGGGACCCGTTGGTGGGTTCAAAGCTCAGTGCAAGCCAACCCTTCGGTACCCCCTGTTTGGTTCACTTTATGGCCACAAAAGACGAACCTTCTATTTCTGGGTTTGTTTTCTGAAGTGTTTTCCCTCTGTGGTTTTAGGGAGAATCTATCAGTGCTGGAAATATGGTTGTTCCCGAATGCGCAGAAGGGCTCATGTTTAAAGGTTGTCAGAAGGGGTCAGGAGCGAGCTGGGCTCTGCGCAAAACGCAAAGAGTTCGCGCAGAGCCAATGGTCATGGGGGCTGGGGGCGGGGGAGGGGGGGGGGAGGGAGCCCAAGTGAGCCCTTATTAAGCCCTTAATAAGGCCTTATTTAGGGCTTATTTCCCATGAAATTGCGAGCGTAGTGACACGTGGGAAGCGGAAAACGTTCGAGGCCTTTGCTTGGAATGACCCAAGGGGAAGCGCTGTTGGAAGGCTGTTCCGTGGTGATTTGCGCCCAATGGTGTCAACTAGGCCTCCCAGCTAGGTGCCCGTTTACCGATTTTTTTTTTGGGGGGAGGGTTCGGGACCCTACTAAAGTAGACTACAGGAAACAATTGTACCCTGATTCGAACGTCACTACTGGAGGACCTAGGTCAACATGCACCTGTGGAGCTTTGAACAACGAGTTGTGACATTTTGCTTTAGCTTTCGACCCAAGAAGGGCCGTCTTCTTTCTTAAGCGAGCCTTTGGCCCACCCAAGCCAAAAGGAACAGGTCTTGGCGGGTGTTCCACAACAGATTCCCGTGCTCGGCGATGGGTGACTGACTGGAAAGAGGGGTCGGCTTTGTTGTGTTGGACAAAAGACGACACCAACTGTTTGGGGGTTCGACAGGGACCTACTTGGGCTTGGACAATTCCCGTAGTCGCCACCTTGGTCTTGGTGGCAAATACTCACTTGTTCAAAGCAGTTCCACTTCATAGCTCTTGACTTCTTGACATATGTTGCTCCAGTTTTAGTGATGGCCCCAAAAGGTTAGCCACTTATCTCCGGATGTGAGCAACGAATTTCCCCGTTTTGGGCATATCCACACGGGAGTTGGCTTGGGGACCTCACGGCTTAAGGAAGGAGGAGAAGAAGACCCGGCACGACCTAGGCCGAGAGGCAGGTTGCCGGCGGAAGCATTGGAAAAACCCGGGTAGAGAAAGGCTAGTAAGGGACAACTCCAGCCAATAGCTGCGGTCGCCTTCTTAGTTCTTTACATGGTTCTGGGTCGACCATTTTTAATACCGGGTTTTGATTGTGACTCACGTGGGATCTCTTTGAGAATCAATCATCTTACTTTTGGTTGGGGAGTGGGAATCCTATGAGAAATATTGCGCGCCCCTCCATGCATTAAGTTGTCTCAGGTGCAGAATTGTGTCTAGGGGGTTTCGGTTGGACTGGGCTCGCCCTCCAAGAATGTTTTGAGCCCCTTTCAAGGGATTCTAAACTCTCTAAACCTGATCCGACGGTTGAAATTGGACCTCCAATTTCCACACTCCAAGAAAGGGCCGGGGTCACTTTAAGCGGTCATTGAACCTTTTTGGGGGTGGGCGTCCTCGCAAAACGAAAGCTAGACCAAACATTGAGCTCGAGCAGGGATCTTTCAGAACCCTGAAGCGGCTAGGTCCCCCAGTAGTGCCCTTTTACCCTTTTTGGGAGAGTTCCCCTACTAAAATGGACTACAGAAAAATAGAAACGGTGCCCTTATTCTAACCTCTACTGGAGGACCTAGGTGCCTGAAGTCATTGGGGGACGTATGTCATCCTGAGGGCGACCGTGTTCTATTTGAGGGATGTATATTGTATCTATACCGTCCAGTAAACATACATACAATATAGCAGGTGGAATGTTTTTCTAAATACACATATAATTCTACGCCTGTTGGCATGTATGCATGTGTCTATTCTACATGTGCACAAATATGCACACACACACACACACACACACACACACACACACACACACACACACACACACACACACACACACACACACACACACACACACACACACACACACACACACACACACACACACACACACACACACACACACACACACACACACACACACACACACACACACACACACACACACACACACACACACACACACACACACACACACACACACACACACACACACACACACACACACACACACACACACACACACACACACACACACACACACACACACACTCAGACACACACAGACACACACACACACACAGACACACACACACACACACACACACACACACACACACACACACACACACACACACACACACACACACACACACACACACACACACACACACACACACACACACACACACACACACACACACACACACACACACACACACACACACACACCCACACCACCCACCCACCCACACCCACCCACACACACGCACGCACGCACGCACGCACGCACGCACGCACGCACGCACGCACGCACGCACGCACGCACGCACGCACGCACGCACGCACGCACGCACGCACGCACGCACGCACGCACGCACGCACGCACGCACGCACGCACGCACGCACGCACGCACGCACGCACGCACGCACGCGCACGCACGCACGCACGCACGCACGCACGCACGCACGCACGCACGCACGCACACGCACGCACACACACACACACACACACACACACACACACACACACACACACACACACACACACACACACACACACACACACACACACACACACACACACACACACACACACACACACACACACACACACACACACACACACACACACACACCTCGAGGGGTGCCCGTATCGACTCGTGCCACGCCGGCGCCCACGGCGTGGGCTGAGATCCGCCCAGTCGAAAATCTCGGATCCGAAGGGATCGATCCGTGGCTCAGGACTTCCTGAAGCGAGTTTGGGAATGGAAGGCGGTGGTTTTCCGGTTTTTTGGCCGGGGGCTAATGGGGGCGGGGCGAAGGGGGGCTATGTGTTTGTCAGACCGACCTGGAGGGGTATGCTTGAGGTTTCTTGTTTTTCAATCCCCTGTTGGTTCAAAAGGGATTCTATCACTACTGGAACTATGTTTATTGTTTCTAGGGGACTTCAGCAACTGGAAGCTTGCTTTGCTTATCTTCAACCAGACAGCTGGATACGTTCCCGTCAAGCTCGTGCGGGTCGATCGAATTGGGCCTTTTCACGCATTGGGTTTTGGAAGGCAGGTGTGTCTCAAAATGTGTTTGGCCAGCTGTTGGATAGGAAACCAGGAACACCAACCTCGCGTGGCACCTAGTTTTGAGAGACTCAGATTCTTGGAGGCCCATTGACCACCTGAGTTGTTGATGGTTGGTCGGGTTTTGTCCCTGAGGTGACTTGTATGTAAGACGCATTTCCATGGGTGTCCTTCTTGGTTGGTTTGGTCCAAAAATGGAGGGCCCTGGTTTGGTTCAATCAACTACCAGGACCATCTATTTTCCCAAAAAGGACACCTATGGGGATCTCACCAAGAACCAGGGTAACGCCAAGCACATAAGGCCAGCGAACGAGGTTACGAGAGATCCTTCATAACTTTCGGCCTATTGGCGAACATTCCGTGGTGCCATGGTCACATGACCCTTTGCAATTGACGTCAAGCCCTTCATCGGGAATGCAGACAATAGGGGTCCCTATCAAGGGAAGCATGAGTGTCCACTTTAGTTCGAATGGCTATGCGCAAATTCGATCAACATATCACAGTGATCAATCTGGAAAACCAGAAGACAAGCCCTAAGTGTCTCATGTCCTTTGGCGGGAAGGAATATTCTGACCACGAGCCATGGTCATGGCTGGAACGTTCCTCAAACATGTGTCAGCATTGCATTTTGTGTTTTTAGTGTTTGAAGCAACCTCTAATCCGTCGGTCCATGGGTGAACAAATGGAGCGCCGCTCGTATGGACTCGGACCTCACTCTGAAGCAATCGCCAGGAGATGAACACGGGGCATATCAAGAAGCAGCTGCAGCGCATCGCATCTTCGGTGGACTGGACGCGCGAGCGCTTCACCATGGATGAGCGCTGCGTTTCTTGCCAGAAGGAAACTGCAGTTGGCATTTGCCCCTAGACTAGAACTAGCCAAGAGCAGTGAAGTTGGATATTCCAACCAACATGGATGCACCTCGGCTTCCGTTTCTTTCTCCCCAAACAAGCGAATCGCGAACTTGATCTCGAAGTCTTCGGGGCTGATTTGCAGATACCTGAATCGATTTCCGCATGGGACACTGGACATGGGGTTGACAGCCTGTGGTGATCAGCTAAGTACATGCCTCGTATCCCTGGCTACTATCACGACAAAGGATAAGTTGTAGATGGATGCAACTTTCGGGGTCCCTTGTTCTTTGGCTATTGAAATCCCTGGAGGAAGCCAACTTCCTGGTGAGTCTGGGGTACTCGTTTTTTTTTTGTTGTTTTTTTGTTTATGGTTTCAAACTTTCCCCAGCCTCTCAATTTGGCTTGTCGCAGGTTTGTTTTGCATTTTGTTATTGTCTTTCAAACATGCAATTTGAGTCACAATTGCAACACCTCTCAACAAGGACCCAAATCCATGGAAGGAAATCAATGCAGATGTCCGCACCGAATGTCTGGCTGGGACTGTCCTTTTCTAATCTTCATCTACTCGGGTGTCTGGTTTTGGGTTTTGATATGTTCCCTGTACTTATTATTCGGTTTATTGGTATGATGTACTAGGAGTTCAAAAGATCGAACGGGTTTCTCAGTGTTGGTCTTTCGTGGTCTTCCTTTTGGGGCGGGTCCCGCATTTCATGTTGCAAAGTTTTTCTGGGTAGGAGGCTCCAGCTGCATCCTCGAATGAGGTGATCGCAAGGGGAAGCCAACAAGGCTCAAAATGGGTGTGTCTTTCTTAGGGGAGCCCCCCCCAAAAGGGTGGTTTTTCTAAGCTGTTTTTTCCTTCAAAGCCATTCAAAGATAAGCACCCTGAAAAAAGGACACACCCAGATATATTTCGAAGCACAAGAGAAGTGAGGAAAAGACGTTCCTGCCTGTGGATGTCCTTTGATTTGGCGGGCTAGCCACATCCTTCATGTTTGATGCAAACTACAACAATCCCAACCAGTGGGGGAAGTCCAAGCCACTACAACATGTAAGTCAAGGCCATTTTCAGGGAGAGGGTTTTGGAGGAGCTTATATACCATGTATGCACATACTGTGTTACAAGCTTGGAATTTGGTGGTAGGATTGCCTCCATATCTCCAAACCCTATATCTTGCACAAGCATCCATCAGCAGGGTTGTGGGATCAAAGGGTTTCTCCCCACTTCTGTGATAGGGAGGCCCCTTTTATATGAACAAGATCATCTTTGGGAAGCCCTTTCTGTTGTATCACAGAAGTGGATTCCATTCCCCACAGCCCTGTCCGTCAGAGTCTTGCCAAGCGTACCAATAAAAATGGAAGATCCCACCCGTTGAGACCGAAAAAAGCGGGTCCGTGCATCCGGGTTCCTCCGGCGCATCTTCGGGTGTTCGAGGCCCGGGCCGTGGAAGAGGCGTTTCTCCGATTTCACGACCAGGGGCTCATCTACCGGGACAATCGCCTGGTGACTGGGATCGAGGGGTTTTGCTGTGCAACAGTTGGGGGGGGGGGGGAGCAACAAAACAAGCGGAGGGGTGCTGGTTTTCGCGGGGTATCCTGAAAACAAAAACTGAGATGGTTGGTTGACTGAATGTGAAACTGAATCTGATCTGATCCCGGATGTTTTTTGGAGTTTTGACTGTGGCACGTAGTTCAGACCTCTACTTATTGCCAGACTTGTCCACGGACTCGGTTTTGTAAGGGAACCGACCTGTGGCCTTCTGGCTGCGTGTTGTAAGAAGTGATACCCTAGGCGCATGGAACCTGACAAGGAACCCCCCGGTCCTCAGGCTGCATTTTCCGTTTTTTCAGGACCCTCGGGTGCATGGCAAAGTGTAGAGATGGCCCGGGACTCACATGTCAAGGGGACTCGCACGTGTCAGGTCAACATTGCAGTGACTCATGGCCACAAGGGGTTTCGTACATCCGGCGATTTGTTTCAAGTCACCTTTTGTGGGTTTGTTTTGAAAGGACATCTCAAGGGGTCCTTGTTTTGGCTAGACACAAATGCACTGACTCTGGTACAAGTTTCGTCCACTTCGGTCCAGTTGATAGGGTTTTGGACGAGTGCCATGAGTAGGCTGTCGAGTTCTGTGACTAAGTTTGACTTCTCGATTTGCTGGGCCTGATATATGGGGGTTGATCAGTATTCCATTGAGGGCCCCCAAATGACCATGACTGACTTTCCCCATTTAGTGTGACATATCATTCCCAAACAGTGTGCTAACACTACGTAAGGGGTTCTTACGGGAAATGTAAAGGCCCGGTGCTAGATTGAGGTGCTCGCTCGGAGCCGGACCGTTTTTTTTCGTGGTAGTTACGTAAAATCGTGACTTCATAAACCTTGAAGTGCATTTCGGCTGCGCAGGCTCGTACAAAGTGGTGGGTCGAGATTTGGCCGGCGTTTTTTCGGCTGCGCAGGCTCGCGCAGAAGTTCCCTTGTGAGATGTTCATGTGCATTTCGACTGCGTAGGCTCGCGCAAGTGTGGTGGACAAATTTGGCGTGTTTCGAGGGTGTGCTCTCGCCGTGGTGCCGTTCAAATTCCGAAAACGGTTGGATCGTTGAACCCTCTGTGCAAGTTGTGCGGTCATGGGTCCTCTCGCGAAGAGATTCTACCAAGAGATCCCGTCCAGACACCATGCGCGCAGATCTTGTCGAGGAAATCCTCCGGCAATTCTCTTACCCAAGGGTTTAGGGTTAGATTGCCAGGCGGCGCGGGTAAGTGCCCATGGCATGGATGGGTTGAAGCTAGAAAGCAACTGCTTTCGGTCTGCGCTTCTGACCTTTTCAGGACTCCCCCTGCTTTGATGTTACCGCTCAAGCTGCTCAGCCCCAAATTCTGTAAGCGGGGAGACGCACCTCTCTCGCGTGAAAAGAGTTTCCGGGGCACCCCTGTAATCGACACAACTCTTGACGCCGTGTTTCCGACTCAACCCAAAAACCACCCTTTCCCGCCGGAAACCACAACTTTAAGCAGTCCAAACCCCGACCCACAGGAACCCACCCACAACCAACTAAGTTAAGTTTAAGCCCAGCCTGAACCAACCGTTAGACCAACCGTAAACCCACCCTTCCTATCCTACACCACCCCCAATAGGCAAACCCGCCCGAACACTTAGCGAACCTTAGCCGACCCCAAATCCAACCTAAACCCACCTAACCCACCTTACCACCCAAAACCCACCCGAAACCAACCATTGTTTTCCGCGGCCCCCGTAGGCGGCTTCGGCCACAGGGTTGACAAAGAGGAGATGGTAAAAGGAAAAGGTGGCGGGTTAGCAAATCCATCCTGAACCCGCCGCAACCCCCCACCTTTACTGGAACCCATCCGAAACCACTGTAAATCCATGGCAAACCTTAAACCGGCTCTCTAGACCAAGCCCAAGCCAACCCTTTTCATTGAATCCCGGCGCGAAGCGAAACGTTGCAATCCCCATGCCTGGGCTGAAAAAAACAGCCTGTGTCTGCCGACCCAAGATGAATCTCAGGTATCATTAATTCCAGTTCATGATTTCCAGTTCGTCCGTTGCATGCAACCCCGCGGTGAGGTCCTGGTGAGCCTTAATCGAACCGGAGAACGGACCGGACCAAGGTGCGGACACCCACCCGTTTGCTTCCTCATTGTCCTGGACCTTCCATTGATACCTTTTTTGTGCTCGCTTTTTGTTCTGCTCGAACACACAGTTTGACAAGTGCCCAAAGTTTATAGTTTCAATTCAGCACTTTTCAAATTTGCGCTCGTTTGTTGGCTTTTGCGTCCAAAAACTGCTCGAGGTCCAAAAAAGAGGACAAGCCAAAAGAAGAAGGTACGAATTCCAAAAACCAGCCGATTGACAAGGGAGGCAGAAATTTCAGGTACGTTTGAAGGTCCAGGGTTTGTTAAATGTTTTAACTTCACTTCTTTGTGCATGTTATTTAATGTGTGTGTTCTGTTTTCTGTTGATGGCTGCAAAGAACGAGGCCTTTTTGCTAAGAAAAACGTTTGGGTTGGCCAATTCAGTTCGCCTCAGGTGAACTGGTGCCCGTACTTGCGCACCGCTCTCTCAGACCTCGAGGCGGGGGTCGAGTTGTTTTTTTCTTTGAAGCTTGGTTCCTCCCGAGGGTGGGTTTGTCCCCTTTCTGCCGGGGTGGGGAGCATTCCTTCCCTAGAGCCCCTGATTTTCGAACCTGTGCCGGTTCAACAAACTCTATGAACCAAGTTTAGGTGAGTTTCCAGCTGTCTCTTGGAGGTGATTATTTTGAGGGCGACATCTCCAGCCCAGTGGCATAATGTTCTTGATTGGGGAAGATCAAACAACTGAAAGAGGGTGTCTGACAGCCCGAGCCCACAGTAACTGCTGGGGAATCCCCCCAAAAAAATCCTCAAAGCAACCGTAGTATCATATCCTCTTCTCAATTTCCGCAAAGGGAAACCAGAAGCGGATGGGTGCCAGTCCGTGCAGATCCGTTCAACGGATGTAACATGGTTTTCAGCGGAAAACCCTCACGCGGCGAGCAATTGTGGAGACAAAACATGGGTGCAGAAAAGCAGGGGGTAAGTTTGGACGGTTCTGGTGCCCTGCAATGGGAAACCAGAAGGAGGTTGTTTCAGCATGATTTAAGCTTGTTTCAGCTCCAGGAACAGATGCTTCCTTTTTTGGGTAGGGTCGCTGGGCAGCTAAGATAGACCACCTTCCGCTTAAATGCAATATCTTCAGTGTCTAACTATGAGCTGGCTATTTCGGGTTCCGTTCATTTTGGTTGATTGCTAAAGCATAGCGAAAGGTTCTGCCCAAAATCGCCTGAGATACGCCACTACGTTGTCGGAGAGATTGTATAAGAGTTCATCAAGATCGATGGCAGGCACACCCCTGATATGAGCGTGTCTCAAAATAGGGGGACCCGAAAATGGATGTTTCTTTTTGGCCTTGTTGGCAGACGACTTTCCTCTGGATTGCCTTTCAGAGAAATTGTAATCACATGTCTGTTTTCTTTTTGTTTGGGCTGGACCCCCCAAAATGGGGGTTGTTCCTTTTGGTTGCCTTTCCAATCACCAAAAACGGGCACCAACTCTAAGAAAGACGAGCCACCCAATACTAGGTCCTCCAGTAGAGAGGTTAGAATAAGGGTACCCTTTTTATGTAGTCTATTTTAGTAGGGGAACCCTCCCCCAAAAAAGGGCAAAAGGGCACTACTGGGGGACCTAGAATAATATGGGAAAAGGGGAACTGAACGTGGATTCCGCTGGGCTCATTTGAGCGCATTTTCGTGCTGCAGGTGGACCACGAGGAGATTGCGGGGAAGACGCTGGCAACTTGGCAGCCATTTTTTTCGGCGGATCGGAAGGAGCCAAATTTTGTTGGGTCCTTTCCGGGTATGGGTCAATATTAAGCCACCAGGGGACCGCAGGTTTTAGTCCATGTTTGCATTTACCAGGGCAACCCATTTTGGGTACCTTTTTGTTGACCCACACCCATTTTTGTTCTGTCAGGTTCCACTTTAATTTGGTGTACACCCAAATGGATTTTGTCAGATTCCACTTTAATCTGCAGGTGTACCATGTTAATCTGCAGGTCTATGTGGTGCGAACGGTTCCGCACCCTGGTCCCACTTTGCGAGGTTGGGTCAAAATCCCTCGACGGTCGATGGTCGGTTTGGAGTACGGGGGACAACGGGTGCGCACTACATCTCACTTCATGTCCCTTGCATGACAGGAACCAGATATGGGCTTTTAAAAATCCAAATCGGTTAGCCCCCAGTGAACATCCGATTCAATCCAACCACTAAAATAGGAAACCTAAAATGGGTGGTGAATTCACCCACTGACAACCACAGCCAAATTGGTTACAGGGGGTCATTCCCTCATTCCCTGAGAACCAGCAAGTAAAACCAACCAAAGACAATCAAACAAACCTTCTGACAACCACAGCCATATTAATATGTTGACCCTGGCTTGTGCCTGCGATTGCACCAAGCTCCTGGGTCCAGCCATCGGTCCAGCCAGGTTTAAAAAGCGCAGCTGGGTGAAGCACTTCGAGCGTGCGTATCCGATATTCACCCCCAAGGAAGGTATGGGAATGGCAAGGGAGCCGTATCCCCAAGAAAGGTGAATTGAATCATTTGCCTAAGAATAGGTTTTATTTTCCCTTGGTCTTAAAATGAACTCATCACTACTGGATGTTTTTTCCTGGTGCCTTGACCAAATGGAAGTTGAATAATCATAGGGAGGAGGGTGCCACGTTCCCGTTTAGTTTGTTTTTTTGCTGTTATGCAACCAGTTCAGTACTCCCTGAGTTCATGGGCAAGTCCTTGAAAGCACCCTTTGCTGCGTTTGTCTTTTGTTGGTTTCATGAGTTGCTTCCCCCCCATTTCGTTTTCTTGGATAACGTATTTTTGTATCTTGGATCTGTTCATGCGAAGATCTTCTGGTTTTAGACCAACCTACCAAGGGTCAGGAAGTTTCACTGGTGGGTTCCAATATGCGCGCATCTGGTTGTGGTTCCAAGTTGTTACGTGTTTGTTTGTTTGTTTGAAACACATAAGCTTCCCATAGGTACAAGCATCCTAGTTTGAGGTCTGTGTGTCAAAGGTGTGAGGCGGGTACCACCATGTGGCCACAAACTTCAATAGGGAACCACCACAGTGGTTAGTAGACATGAATCTCCTACATGATGTCCAACAAAGGATCCCTGATTCCACGCCATGCCCATATAGGCACTATGAAGGGCAGATGCCCGGTGGCAAAGCAAGCGAAATGAATCCCCCTGCTGGCCCAGTGACGCGTTCGCTTGAGTTCATCAGCAAAAAGCACCCAACCCCTCGTCCTTGTGGCTCCTTATCTGGTCTCGCTTTGGGGAACAGGAAGGAACGGCAAACTCCATTACAGTAAAAATCATCAATCCCACCTCTAGTGGATTTTTAGGAGAAAGGGCACCCTTCTTTGCTCGTTGAGCTGTTCCAACCAAGAAAGTTTCTTCAGTGCGGTTACTGGCTGTTCATTCTCATGACAAGCAAGCTTGCCATGCTAAAGCAGAAGGGGAAGAAAGTTTTTCCCGGAAGAAGTTTGGGGGGGGAGGGGCCGCGCTAACCCTCGGACTTCCACCCATTTTTTTCTTCTTGTGGCAAAAAAGTCTCGATGAATGGACTTGGGTCGGCTAACCCTCAGACTTCCATCTATTGCAACCCATTTTTCCCCCTTAACGTGGGTCGCGGAATGCTAGGCCCCCCGCCTCCTTTTTCGGGTGGGGGGAAGGAGGAAAATGAGGTGAGCCACAATCACAACCCGGGTAGATGAAGGTTAGTCAGACACAATCCCAACCACAAAAAGCTGCGGCGGCCTTCCTAATTCTTCATGTGGTTCTGGGTAGACAGGTTTTGATTATGACTCAAGTGGGATCTCTTGGACTGGCCAGAATCAAACATCTTACTTTTGGTCTTTTGGTTGGGGAGTGGGAACCCTACTGTGGATGGCCGAAATCCTGCACCACCTAAGAAACCTAGGAATGATTATTCCCTTGTAAATACCAACGGACAATGGTTTCCCATAGTTTCAAAGCTGGCGCGAAATGGATTTCGTTCATCCACAGTATGAGAAATTCCATGCTATTTACTACCGGGTTTTGACTACTCAGGTGACGGTGCCGGGCTTCGAGGGCAAGGTGGAGGTGGGAGTGCTCTGCGAGTTCAAGCACCCTGGTTGGCGAGAGCGGGGGGGGTTTCGGGTCCCGGGGCCGGTCCTATGGCTGTCTTGGTTTCTCTGGCTGTGGCTCAAAAAGCCGGAATTCCAAAATGGCTTGCCCTGGTAAGTGGAAACATGGACCAACATCTGCGTAACCCCTCCGATCGTTTAATTTTGAGCCACACCCCTCTGTCGCCCTGTGGATTCCGCCTTTTTTTTTCTTCCTTCTTCTTTTTTCCCTGGACTTTTTTGGGGTGGAGCCATAGGGTTTAACCCCCATGAAAAGAATGGCCCACAGGGCAGGGCACAGGGCAGGGCACAGGGCAATTTGGAAGATGACACTCCTTGGGTAAACAACGGTGGTTATATGAACCCCCATTGTTTTAATGGTGGTTTGAGGGGAAGAGTTCCGCTTGAAACCCAAGCAACCTGAAAAGGATGCCCTTGTTTTCCCATGGCCACTGGGCATCTGAGGTTTTGCGGGTAATTGCATTTGGTTTTGTGGCTCTCGTGGAAGCCATAAGGCCATAAGGACAACCACCACTATTTAGGGGTCCAGTCTTAAAGCACAACCCTAAATGGCAAGAGAGAGAGAGAGAGAGTTCAATGGGGAATGCCCAAAGAAAGTGTTGGTAAATGATGTCCACCAAGCACGATTGGTGCTAATTAAATGGGCATGTGACAAGATCTGAGACCCCCGCAAAAGAACAGACATAAAGAAATAACATAAGTAAAACAAAGTGGTTAACCCCTGGGTTGGATTGGGAATTGTTGGATGTCCTTAGGGTCCCACTTTAAGTTCGGGTCATGTAGCAAACCTGTGCTGAGAAAGGATGTGGGAAGGGGAGGATTGGGGCGCACTCCTTTAATTATGTGCCAAATGGCACGCAATTGTTAACTTCCTTTCAAGCATATCAAGCTTGTCGGATTTGTCTCCCATTTACAGTAGCGCCTTGATCTGGGGAAGTTGGTCCATGAGCGATTTCTCGTATCTTGTATATAAAACAGTTCCAAACTTGGATGTCCTCTCAACACGCTTTCTTGGAGAGGGGGAGGGCGACCATGTCTGCTCGAGCCCTGGCGATTTGTCCTTCGCTTGCAGAGCCCTCGTCCCCTTGTAGCTGTTGGGTTCCATTAAAGGAGACGAGAGCTGCATGGTTTAAAGGCATGTCTTTTGCACAGCTGGCTTCAAGAAGTTACTTGGACCCCTCAACATGCTCACTTTCAGGGAAGAGTCAAGGGGAAGCTGCTGTAACACAGGAGAGTCAGGGGTTGTGACACATGTTGGGCAGCTTCCAGGAAGAGCATTCTAGCAAGCTAAGAAAGTTTGGACTTCCGGCCTGCCTCGCTTAAGAATATTTTGTGAATTTTCCCTTAATTGGTTTGACAAGGAATTCACTGTTGTTTGTTCCTGGGGCCTGAACCAAATGGACGCCCAGGGGAAGCTGCTAGGTACATGATCAAGGGCACCAAAGAGGGCCTCGTGGTTGCCACCACCCGACTGGAAACGATGCTGGGAGATACCGCGGTGGCGGTGCATCCGGAGGACGACAGATACAAGGTGACGTGTGCCAAAAGGGTCACCCAACGGGTGTGTTGTGTTTGGATTTAAGAGCACCTTTTTGTGTGTGTGTGCAAGGGAAGCCAAAAGGAGCACCTTTTGCTTGGGTCCAACCTGAAAAACAAAAAAAGAGCAGAGACCCACCTGGGCCATGGGCCAGAAATGGATTTTTACGACTTCACGTCGTGTCTCCCCCGCCTTGGCGGTGCCTCTGGCGCTGCCTCTGGGCCCAAGTGGGTCGCGGTTTGCCTCTCTCCGCTTCCCGGGGCCCGTTGGTTTCCCCGCCTGGACGATGGAGCTCGAGGGAGGTCCAGAAGGGGCGGACGGGCAGGCTCCGCCCAGCAGCCGCCCGACCCCAAAAACCCCCCGAACCCCCCGAACCCCCCGCCCGAACATCCGGAGAACACCCCGAAAACACCCCGAAAACACCCAAAAAAAACCGACACCGCGAGTTTCTGCAGGCCTTCCACGGGAAAGAATTGGAGCACCCCTTCTTCCCCGACCGGAAGATGGTGGTGGCGCTGGCTGCACTTGGAGAACTTTCAAAGCGGCGCAAACCGCCAAAAAGCGGCATTTTCCGCGGAAGGTGTTTCTTTGGTTTCTTTTGTGCGTGGGTGGTTTAACAAAGTATGGGAAAGGGGCCTCTTTGGTCGGTATCATGGTTGTCGTTTAAGAATGGACCCACCAAACGGCTGCTGCCAAATTCCTCCTAACTTCTTCAGCTCTGAAATCCTACTGTTCCCGGCCTAGGTCCCCCCCGGTAGTGCCCTTTTGCCCCTTTTTTGGGGGAGGGTTCCCCTGCTAAACTTTGGTGCATTTTGCTTGGCTGTTAGGACTTTAACTTTTTGCCAACTAATGGGTTTTCCACTAAACCACTAAAAGTTAAACTTTTAGCAGGGGAGCAGAAAGCAACCGAGTAAAATAGACTGCAGAAAACAAGTTGGTACCAACTTATTCTAACCTCCAAAACTGGAGGGCCTAGTGGCATGTGATTCAGGTTCCCGTTGTTTTGGTACATCTTTGTAGAGGTTTGCTGGTTCTGCTGGGCTGTGGCTCAAAAAACCGGGATTCCCAAAATGCCTGGTAAGTGGAAACATGGACCCAAACCTGCGGTTTGCCCCTCCGATCGTTTAATTTTGAGCAGCCAAATGAACCCTGTACCTTCCGGTCATTCCCAGACCGAGTCATGAAAAGGCAAAGTCCCAAAGGCAACGGGGATCGTCGCTTTGGGTCGTCATTTTTTCCATGGGAAAGGAAAGGGATCCGGAACGGAACCTTTCCGCTGGCCTGTTCCCCGGCCTCATTTTCTCAGACCCAGAAAAATTTTAGTGGCTGTGGCTGAGAACCACTGGGATCCCTTTTTGGTTGGGATTGGTGCATTCACCACCCATTTTAGAACCGATTTTAGTGGTTGGATTGGGATGTTCACTGGGGATACGATTTGGGTACACCCTGGGATTACACCCTTGGGAAATGGCACAAAATGGTCCAAAACAACATTTCCGGGATAAAAGCAAGCCTAAATGGGGTCATTTCACAGTGGGCGTAATCTCAGGGCGTAATACAAGAACCATGAGAATCTCACTTCCTGAGTTCATGAACTTTAAACTTTTTGGGAAGACCATTTTAGTGGCAAATATAAAGTTTGGACGTTTTTTGGGCCATCCACTCAGCAGGTGAGGAATAAGAGAGCTGCCCATTTCAAAGGGTGCCTCCGGGATCTTTGTTCACGTTCGCATGTTCAGGCTCGCTCCACTGGGCAAAAGAAAAAAGGAGCACGGCACGTCACCCGTGAGGGTTTCTTCCATAGGATGATCCCTATTCTTGTTGGGTGAATTAATTAATTTTGCTAGACCAAATCTTGCCAGTTGTGTTGGCAAACTTTCATCCAACGTTTGCTGCTTGGTTTCTTCATGCTAGCCGCCGAGGCCCAAAGAATAGACAAAGCTTCTTTTGGCCAGTCAACTCAGCAGGTCTGACATATGCACCAAAATTAAACTCCTCTAGGTCCCCCAGTAGTGCCAGTTGACCCTTTGTTTGGGGAGGGTTCCCCTACTAAAACAGACCACAGAAAAAAAAGGTACCCTTCTTCTAACCTCTCCGCTCAAGAACCTAGTCCTTTATGTCGTTGAACCAAAAGCTGGAGGTATGCACCCTATCGTTGGGCACGCGTTTAGGTGATCGCGGACACCATGGTGGACCGGGAGTTCGGCACCGGCTGTGTAAAGATCACCCCGGCGCACGACCACAACGATTTCAAGGCGACCTTCGGATGTGCTTCTGTTGTTCGACAAGACCGCACGCTCCCTGTAAATATCCCAAACGTGTTGTGGTGTCCCACTACAGAAATACGGACATGTCGAGCTAGGAATTTTCACCGCATTTCAATCAACCCCCAGCGAGTATCCCATGATGTCTGTACATTGTGTGACCACCTTTTCCACCATTTTTGGCTTCAACTCAACAAGTAGTTCCTCTTTTCAGCCGAGTCACTGGTGGCAGCTTGAGTCACAATCAAAAACCCCGGTAAATGAAGGTTTGTAAGGGACGATCCTTCTCATAACTAGCTGCGGATAATATCCGCCTTCTTAATTCCTTACATGGTTCTGGGTTCATTTTTGGCTTCAACTCAACAAATAGTTGAGTCACTGATGGCAACTGATCCCAACCATGACTAGCTGCGGCCGCCTTCTTTGTCCTTTACATGGGTTCACCTTATTTCTGCCGGGTTGTGATTATGATTTACTTGGTGTTCCTTGCTGAAGACCATGGCACCCTCCGCTGCCAATGGCGATCGCCGTCCGACGCAAGGCGGGGGTGCGGCATGGCCTGAAGCAGATCAACGTCTTCTCTGAGGCGGAAGGGGTGATCGAGGCAGAGGCAACTTACCATACTGTGGATGGTTGCGAAATCCATTTCGCACCACCTAAGAAATCCTGGAATGTTGATTCCCCTGCAAATACCAACAAACAATGGTGTCTCATGGTTGCTTAGGTGGTGCAGGATTTCGTCCATCCACAGTAGGTGTCCTTTATGGTTGATTTGGTCGAAACATAGAGGGGTTTCGATTCCTGGTTTACCTGGTGGTTCAATCAACCACCAGGGAAACCCATCTATTTTCCCAAAAAGGACACCTATGCAACTTCCCCCCTGCCCGCACTTGAGCCACGTGCTCAAAACCGATTCGGGTAGATGAGGGTTAGTAAGCGACGATCCCAACCAGAAATAGCTGTGGATATCCGCATTCTTAATCCTGTACATGATTCTGGGTAGACCATTTTAGTACCAGGTTTTTATTGCGACTCACTTGGACATAAACTGCGTAAATAGCCCAGACTCGCACCCCCCGAACATTTCGCCCTCGTGTGATTGGTCGAAGGTGCGGTAAACCAACTTGGGAACACACACACACAGACACACACACACGCTTGCGTTCAGGTGGGTGTCGTGCGCGCTACAACCTTGTTTTTGCTGCCCTCGTTTCGACCTGCTGCAGTTGTTAATTGTACGAAAAGGAAACAAAAAGGTGATGCACGGGGACTTCATATTTCCAGACCCCCAATTTGACATAATGATAGTGCCCACCTATCAGACACTACGGGCGGTGTTGGGGCTATGTACTCCGTGGCCCTGCACAACCCGTAGGTTTTGGGGATGTCCTTTGGACCAAGTCCAAATATCCAAGAGTGCATATGGTCCTTTTGGGCGGGACATGCAGGACCCGTCTCTACACCTTTTTCCTCATACCAGGGGACGAGGCCAAATTTTTCCAGGTCGTTTACGCTAAGCCCAGACTTTTGAGCGTGACTCACATGACCTGCCCAGGTAAGCTGGGCAAGGGTCCGGGATCCCCACTTAAGGATCAGGTAGAAGGGTAGTACGGGACGATCCCAACCAGAAATAGCTGCGGAGATCCGCCGTCTGAGTTCCTTACATGGTTCGGGGTAGACCATTTGATGTACCGGGTTTTGATTGTGACTCACTTGGATGTTCAATCAGCTTGGGCGCCGGTTAGCCGACGGGTCGTGGCCATTTCTTGAAGAAAGCCTCGCGGTTTGTCTTTTGTTTTGGCGCCTGAGGGGTTCCGCGGGCTGGCGGGATGTGTTACAGAAGAGGCTCTCCTCTTGGATGGCTTAGGGAAGCCAAAGGCAGGTTCCTACTTTTGTGGTTTCGCGTTTGATTCCAACCAGGGTTGTGGGATCAAGGGGTTTTTCCCCACTTCTGTGATACAAGGGCATTCTCCTCTTTATTTGGGAAGGGGGGTAGTCTTTGGGAGGCCCTTTTTGTTGATTCAGGGCTGCCAGGGTTCAGAGCCACCATTTCTGCTGTTGCTTTGCTGACGTTCCCCTTTCACGGCACCCCTTTTCTCGCGGCTCCGAAGCTTGCCGCTGCGAGAGGTTGTGCTCCTTCGCTGGTTCCAGTGGGATGATAGTTTGGCCGACAAAAGCCAGTATATGTTTAATGGGCTTCGGTTGGTCACGAGGGTGACCTTGAATTTCATGAAGGAACCCCTTACCAACTGCCAGACCCCCTTTTTGCGCGGGGAGAATCAAGGGCACTGAAAAGTCCAGGGCCATTTTTGCAATAGCTGCAATTGTGTTGGAATGTTCAACCACTGCTTTTCGGAAATGTGCATTTCCGATCAAACAAAGAGATTCAAACTTTTTGGGCAGGGGGCAATGACCACCAAGCTTTGAACCTTTATCTGGGCAGAACTGTTGTGTGTGTGTGTTCAGCAACTGAGGGGGTGGGGGGGGAGGATTATGGTCTCTTCCCAGTTGCCTCGAGTGTGAAACCCAGAAGCTAAAGGTTTCTGCAGGAGGGTGACATCAAATGTGTTGTTTCCGTTTTGATTTTCTTTTGAATCCAGCAGGACCAATGTGGGTGTGTCTTTTTTTGGAATCAGACCCTGAGAAATTGTTTAGCGGTTTCTTTTTGGGCTTACCTTTAAAACCAACCCAACAGAGAAATTCGGGAACCCAACATGCTTGGGTCCTTTTGGCTTCCCTTTTTTGGCTTCCCGTTAAAACCAAGTAACCTGGAAGTCGCCTCACACAAAAAATGAAAAAGAAAAAGAACAGAGACGAGGCTCCATTTGAACATCGCTCGCTTTGCTCCTCCCAGGAGTCTAGGGGAAGCTTCCCCATTTCTTTCCAGGGATCCTTCTTTTCAACCATCCAACACCAACAGGAAACAACCTTTTGTGTGAAAGGAACGCTGGGTTGAAACGAATGAAAAACAAAAACAGGAGCCAGGCCCTAGAAGCCGAGCCCTCCCACCTCCCAGACTCCCAGAAGGGCCCAGACTCCTTTCCAGGAGGGCGAGATCAATGCGAACGGGGGGGACTTCAAGGGCCAGCACCGCTTCAAGGCGCGGGCCACCGTGGAGGAGGCCTTGAAGCAGAAGGGCCTCTGGGCCCCTCGGTTCGAGCGGGCGGAAGTGGAAGCGGAAGCGGTGCCCGGGTTTTTGGTTCAGGAGGAGAGAGCTGTTTCGGGTGTGTTTTCGTTTTTGTGCGGGTGGGAAAAGGGGGGGATTTAGGATTGGCCTTTTGGTGCACGTCTTGGTTAGGAATCGGGCCCGCCAACATGGGTGCGTTTTCCCTTTGAACAGGGAGTTTTGTCATACCGTGGGTGGGTGCGCGCCATCCATTTGCTTCTCGCACCGCGAAATGAGTCGCCATGGGAAGGAAATCAGAACGTTCCTTGGTGTTTACCGGGGAATCGAACCATTCCAGGGTTCTTAAGTGGTGCAGGATGTCATCCATCCACAGTAGGGAGTTTGTCATAGGGATGTTTCAGGGGACCAGCCAAAACTTGCCGGTTCTCAGCGGGGAAGGAGAAATGGAATCACCCTGAGATAACCCATCCATCCTACGGTTTCCTTGAAGGGACTCCCCAAACGGTTCGTTCCCAAAACTCGGAGAAGGTCATTCCCTACTGAGCACCAGCAAGTTTCCCCCCCCAAAAAAAAGAAAGAAAGAGTGGTGTTCCGTTGAACCCCGTTTGGAAGCCCCAAAATTTCTATGGTGTCAAGGCCCCCCAATCTGGACCCCCCAAGCCAACTCGGGGCCATGTTCGATTTTCGGCTACTTTCTGGGGGGCCCCTCTTTGGTGCCGCTGGCTGGGCGATTCATTGCCTTGCTACCATGGCTTACACACCATTGTTGAAACAACCTCTTTTGGAGTTTCCCTTTTGAACCAGGGGCTGCTTGAACATTTTTCGTTTCACGCATTGCTGCACCACTTGCTGCGACACCTCAAAATCATGAAATCTTTATGCAGTCTCTTTTGACATTTGCCCGCATGTTTAAGGCACACTGAATACGGACCAGCATCTTCTTCTGTTTTCTTCATTTTTTGTTGGGGTGTGCGGGGTAAAGGCTGTGGTGACGAAGATTGGTCGAGGGCCCGCTTGTTGGTCCCATAGGTGTCCTTTTTGGTTGTTTTGGTAGAAAAATGGATGGCAATTCCTGGTTTACCTGGTGGTTTAGTCATCTACCAGGGAAACCCATCTATTTCCAACCCGAACCGGGATGCAAAGTGGGGCGAGCAGCAGCTCCACGACCATCATGGAAGTAAGCTAGAGGCCTTTGTCTTTGGTAGTCAATCATGGAACCCAGAGGGTCCCTTGTTACCTCCGGAAGATGGCTTTTGGGGGGTTTCGAAGATGGCGTTTGGGGGGGGTTGAAAGGGGTCCCTTGGTGCCTCCTTAGAAGGTACTTGGACCCTCTAGGGAAGTAAACTGGAGGGCTTTTTGTTTGGTCGTTAATGACTAAGTCCCTCCTGTCAGGGCGGTGTTGATTGGAGGCCAGTTGAATGGTGCCCCAACAGGAGGTTCCGTTCCCAAAACGTAAGCAGGTCTTGGGGGCTGCAAATTAACCAACGGCGCAAAAATCAAACACTCCCGCAAGAAAGCACACAGAGATTCTGTGTGGGGAGGCCAGGGTTGCTTCCTAGAGTTTTATCAACTGACGTTGAAGCAAATGTCCTCTGCAATGAATTCAGGATGCCATATGATTCAAGGATGTTTTTCCCGCTGGATTGGGATTGGGGTTGTTTTCAGTCCCCTGAAAAGCGAGCAAGCAAACAAGCAAGCAAGCACGCTACACACAAACCACCTACCCTGCACCTACCCCGAAACCACCTTGGACCCACTTTAAACCCCTAAGCCCAGCGTAACTCCACCCTGAAGGCCCCTAAACGCAGCCCAAAACTACCCTTAGCCTGCCTTAAACATACCTGAAACATCCTCAAGCCCATGACCGTAAATTGAACCCTGCAAACCCTAAACCCAACCTCGATCCACCCCAAACATCGCCTGAACCGGCCTAAGCCAACCCTGCACACCCAAACCCACTCTAAATCTACCCTAAATCACCCTAAGCCCTTAAACCAACCCTCACACACCCAACTCAAGCCAACCTACCAGAACTGCCCGACCCCAAACAGATGCTACTACCCCAAACCCCTTGTTGAGTTTACTTTGCTGATTCCATGACTACCGATTGCGAACAGAGTGACATTTCGGGCGACTTTTAGGAGGTTGTTTTCTTCAACGATGAGGCAACGCAGGACCGCCCATCGATGGTGCGATGATTGGCTAAAGCCTCCTCTGAACAAGCCCACCAACCGCCCTACACCCACCCCAAAAAAAACTCCTAAAGCCACCTTACCTAGAAACCACAAAGCCTTCCTGAGCAAACACCCACCCTGAACTTACACCCTACGCTAAACCCGGCACCCACACTATCCCAAACGTCGGAAAACAGGCGGCCACACACACCACAGTTTGGTTCAACCGAACTTGGGGCCTGTGAGACAAGCCCCGACCTCCAGCAGTTTTGTCGGACTGAATTGTTTTCCCCAAGTCGACCGCCCAAAACAAGCAAGGTTTCCAATCCATTTCCGTTTGTGGACCTCCAAAAGTTTGGATAGAAACCACTGGCAAAGGGATCAACTTGTGACTGGGGGAAATCTAGTCCACCCCCTGAAAAGCACCCCTTGCGGGGACCTGAGAGAAACCCCGAGGTGGGGAAGAAGTCCCACTCGATGCGTTTGGGCTTCTGCTCCAGATCCAAGGACGGTGGCGGGGTTGGGTTCAGTTGCCGCAACCGTTGGCCATGTTTGGCTAGCAGGTTGGTTGGCTTACCTCTTAAAAACACACAACTTTTCTCAACTTTCTGGGTAACATGGGCTATATGTCGGTAAAAGATGAAAACTTCCCCAGGTTGCTTGGAGTTTTAAGGGGTAAGTCGGCGAGGTGCACGATTTCTCGCCCCTTTTTGTGGGTACGTTGGCCTTCTTTGGACATAATCCAGTCATACCTAGGACGTACGGTAGCCTCCGTTGTTCGGCCAGTTCGGGGGACTTCGGGCTCTGATTTTCATTTGTGGCTTGGAGGTGCTCCCTTGGCTCTTCAGGGGTCGATTCCTCTATTTCCCTTTTCGGGTGGGTTTTAAACATCCCTTGGTCCATGAAAGGTGAGTATCCCTTGGTGGGGGTGATGTTTTAAAGGGACATATAGGGAGCCCTGTTCTTGTAGAGGTAAATGGGACACCACCACGAAGAATCGCTGAGAGCTTGTCTGGGTCCTCCAGTAGAGAGGTTAGAATAAGGGTACCAACTTTTCGCTGTAGTCTATTTTAGTAGGGATCTTTTTCTTGGTGGCAAGCCCAGCCATCCGGTTCCTTAGCTTTTTAGATCCTTTTAGTGTTTAGTGGTAGGTTCCATTGAAACCACTAAAAGTTAAACTTTTAGCGGGGGATCTGAGGGCAGCCCAGTTTTGTGGAAACCTGGGTAGGGCCAACGTTTGCGATCGCCCTCAAAGTGATACACGAGTGATGAAGTCATTCCACACGGAAACCACGGTGGTCCAGCACCGCCAGGACATCATCGAGCCGTATTTGAAGCCTCAGTGGTGGATGAACTGCAAGGATCTTGCTGACAGGAGCGTGAAAGCTGTGCGCAGCCTGTCGGAGTTTAGTGAAAAAGACACATATTACAGGGCATGATGCCAGATCCCCCTTTCTGCATATGGAGGGATCCGAAGATGACAACCTTTTTTTTCACCAACAAAGGCCGAGCCTTATGAGCCTCCCGATTTCTAGTTCGGGTTGGTTAAGGCTGAAAGCCAGTGGGGGCAAATTTGATGTAAAGGAAACTCAAAGGAGGTTGATTGAACCAGGGGTATTTCAGCACATGTAAATCATGTGCCCCAGATTAAATCAGGTGCCCCTTACTGGGTGTGAATTGGTTTGGATTGGGGCAAAGTTGGTTTGTCCTCTTTCCGGAAACCCAACCTTTGGGTCCCACACCTGAATTGATGTGGTTCAGCAGGGAGTCTGATATCCCTGAAACCAGGGCGGATCTGGGCGGGGGGAGGGGATTTGACACCTTGGTCGTCAGAAAAGGGGGTGCAATCAATCCCCTGCCCCTAACCTGCAAACTGAGCTGTTTTCTTTAGAGGACACCCCTTTTGGAATGGTTCCATTCGAGGACACCTTTTGTGAACTTGTTCAATGGGCGCGAGAGGGAAGGAGAATGGACACTGAGCCCCAAAAAAGCAAAAAAAAGCCCATCCGACTGCTGGTGTCCTTTAATCGGGAACCCAAGCCAGAGGGTCCCTTGGTCCTTCTAAGGAGGTACCAAGGGACCCCTTTGACCCTCCAAAATCCATCTTCAGGAGGTACCAAGGGACCCTCTGGGAAGGAGTTCCTGCCAACTCATGCCCTACCCATGGTGGTTGTCGGGAAACATTTTACATTTTTTGGTCATTGTGGCTTAGTGGTTGAAATCCAACCACTTAACTGCCTAAGATTTAAGTTTTTGCTCCCCTTCCAACGTCAACGAATTACCTGTCACCAAGAGAGAAGATGATGTCCCAGGAACTGGGGAGCTGAAGATCCTGCCGGAGTTCCACCACCAGACGTGGTACAACTGGCTGGAGAACATTCAGGAACCCGCTAAGGGTCCCTACGTTTACCCCCAACAAAGCTCACAGAGAGATTTGGTGAGTTTCCTCTTTTTGTTTTTTCCTCGATTGTGCCTTTGCGGTGATTTTGAGACAAACTCGGGTGCTTGGATTGAGTTGGACGCGACTGGTGCGCTTGCGGTTGGGAATCCGCGGTACCTCCATGTTTATTGGGCAGCGCCCAAACCCTCTGAACTGCTTTAAGCGACAAAGGGAAATTATCCCCTTTTGGGCACTTTTGAGAACCCTCGAATGTTCACAGAAGAAAGCGCTCAGATTAAATTTGAGAATACGCTCAGGTGGTACCCCCAACAGCTCCGGAACGCCCTGGAACCCTCCGGAACCCCGCAAAACTGCCCCAAACCACCCCGAACGAGCGTATTTGGGCACATCGACCCCAGAGCTTTCAGCTGGAGAAAAACCATTCAGTGTCAAGCATCTCAGTCCAGCACCCAGTCAAAACAAAAAAGTCTGCAAAAGGCTGGGTGAGTTTGTGTCTTCCAGGACCCCCCCCGGATGTCAGGTTGAATGTGATTCGCTAGTGTAGGCCATCTTTGTACGCTTCGAAAAGGTCGGCTATGCCTGTGCATCGGGCAAGACCGTTGGGCGCTTATGGTTCAGTTCTTCAAAGCGAATCGACATGTTAACCTTTTGGTAATTCAATTGTTGGTCCCACTTTTCATAAAGGTCCCAGGTGATCACCAATTACACGGCCATGGGTCAAAATCCCGTGCCCAGTGAACATCCCAATCCCCACGGAAATAGACTAACTTTGGTTTTGCCCCTACCCCAAAATGGTACCATTGGTTTTGACCCACAGCCTCAGGTGCAAGCTGGGCAACCAGGATATGGGTCAAATCCCAGTTGCCCAGTGGATTCCGCCCTTTTGTCCTTTTTTTTGGATTTGTTCCCCTTGAAACCAAAGCAAACCAAAAAAGGACGCCCTTTTTTCCCATGGCCACTGGGCGAGGAGTGGTGCATCTCCCGGCAGCTCTGGTGGGGCCACCGGATTCCCGCGTACAAGGTGGTGAAGCCGGTGCAGAAGGAGGAGTCGACGTTGGTGGGGTTGGTTTTTTTGGGGAAAGCGACGGGGCTGTCTTCCTCCTCGATTTGCCTAAGAATATTGTATATTTTCCCTTCTTGGTTTCAAAAGGAATTTATCACCACTGGACATATTTTCTCATTTTTTCCTGGAGCCTTAACCAAATGGAAGTCCTGGAACCTCCATACCCCCCTCTTGGGCTTGGATTTCTCCGTTGCCCAGTGGTGCCTTTTTTCTCTATTTTTTTGGGGTAAGAGTTCCCCTTCAAACTCAACAAAGAAAAAGAGGTGCCCGTTTTCTTTTTCCCCATGGCCACTGGGCATCTCAGTTTAACAGACATGGAAGCGACAGGAAGCCGTTTTTTCCTTTTTCCGATGCTTGGGTCTCAGGCGTTCCGTGTAAGTAATATGTCTCCCAACGTTTGACCCGTTACTCGTACGGTCAATGTGGGTATAGGTTTCCTACATGGATTGCCTGGGTATGGAGATTCCGAGATTCACCTCATTTCACCTCAATCCCCAAAAGGCCAAAAGGCCAAAAGGCCAGACAACTCGGATTTAGGGCCACACGAGTCTGGGAGTCTCGCAACACCCTGGATGCTTTTTTCGCTCGGAGACCAAAAGCGACACCACCTGGGAGGGGCCTCGACAGGAGAAGTGGTACACCGGGCGCTCCGCAGCGGAAGCCGCCGCAAAGGCTGAGAAGGACCTCAAGACAAAGGCGGAGAACGTCGGGACGTCGGTCGGTTCAGAATGGGTTTGAAAGAGCCCATGTCTTAGGTCAGTTCTTCCCCAGAATTAGCTCCTTTTTGTTTTGTTAGTTTTTTTTGGGTCCCTTTGTCTTCCACTAACCAGGCAAAAAATATGTGGGTCCCTGTTTTGCTGGGGTCCTAATTCCAGCCACGGTCTTAGGCCAGTTGCGGACCTACAGAATGGCCTCGTGCATTTGAGTGAAGCTTCCAATGAACTGCGCGAGGCCATTCTAAATGTTGGGGAGAGACTTTGCAAACCTTAAAGTCCCTGGGGTATGTTGATCTATGTTGAAGGCTTCAAATCCAAAAAAATGGGATGCTCGCAAGTTAATTAATCCTCCCACTAACATGGCACCTCACATGGGGTCGCTTAAACGGGAAATTAATCTTCCAGGTAGCCCTCCACAAAGTCTATGCTAGTGGGATGAAGGGCAGTCCCTTGCCCAAAGTCGTGGGTTTCCCTGATTCCATATTTAGATAAGGTTCCAAAAAAGGTTAACCTTTTGTTTCCAGGTCAGCGAGTGAGATTAGATCCCCCAAAAAAAAGACATGGGCGTTTGTGTCCTTTCGGTTTTCATTTCAAGCCACCCCAAAAAAGAGTACCCTCTGAAAAAGACAGCCGCCATGTGCGGCTCCAAGTTTTGAAGGCTCAGCGGCCCTTTTTAGGGCGGCTTGAATGGACGTCAAAATGGCCTTGTTTTACATTTTTTTGGGGGGGCATGACTTGCTTGACTTGCTTTATGCTTGAATAGGTCGGCTTGACTTGCTGTTTTGTGGGGGGGGGGGGGGCATTTTGACTCACGCCCTTATTTTTTTCATTTGACACGAAAAAAGCAACGCCCTGAGTTGGGGTTGGGGAAGTAGCCAATGGGTTGTCTCAAAATCGGTGAACCCTCCAAAAGGGTCGCTTGCATGGCGGGTTTTGCTTTAAAGCATGCCTCAAAAGAGAAGACTCGACTAAATCCTCAAGGATGTTGGGTGCTAGAACTGAGTGATGCCCGCCTAAGGGTTCTCATTCATCCCCATGTTCGTCCTGGTTGGCATGGACCCAGCCCCCAAGAGTCTGTTGGGTCTTCAAAATAATTTGGCAGTTTTCTTGGGTGCGAATGGCGATGTGCCTTTTTAGTGGGGATTCATCACTTTTGGAGTGGTACACCCCCCTAATCCGAGGCTAACATTGTTTGGCCGATTTTGGCTGGATCTTGGATCTCTTGCTTTTGGAGACACGTCGTACCCAAAGTTAAACCTGTTTGCTGCGTGGGACGGCCCATTCATCGGGATCCTGAAACTTGTGCCCCTGGCACGTCTACCTGGACCCAAAATCATTTTAAGGGTAGTCAGGGTCCAGGTACAGGAAATGGGATTTTAAGAACACACCAGCAACAAGTTGATTGGAACATGTGCTAGCTCCACAGGGCATGAACCCCTTTAGGAAGCTTGACAATTCGATCATTGCAAGGGTTCCTCGGCAACCATGGCACGGCAACAAATGTCACGTGTTGGGAGTTTTGACCGCAGGTGGAAGTGGAGCAGGACGAGGATGTGTTGGACACCTGGTTCTCTTCCGGGCTCTTCCCCTTCTCTGTCTTCGGCTGGCCGGACGAGAACGAGGACAGCCCCCAGCCTTCCAACCTGAAGTTTCCTTTGGTTTCCCTCCACCCGATAGGACCATTTCCGGCCCTTCCTATCGGGTCGAAGGGAAGTAGCAAGCATGGTAAAACCACAAAGGGCACTGGCTCAGGTACATATTTGAGCGGTCAGGAAGCCTTTAGTGGGTGGCGTGGATTGGTGGTTTGGGGATTGAACCCCTGGATCTTGCAGAGAGTAAATGGGATGGTCCCTGACTTCCAAACCACCCAGGATCCAAATCACACATTAGAGGGAAGCTGAAGTAATACATTCTAGAAAGGATCGATGAGCTTATTCTGGTAGGTCTCTTTTAGTAGGATATGCTGCAACTTGCATACCAAGGTGTTTTGTTTAAAGCAAGCAAAACAACCCACGGTTTTTCTCAAAATCTAGCAAGGTGGCCCACTTTGCCTCGAATCCGACCCGCCAAGCAGATGAATTTGGGCTGATTGTCAGGACCTGAAAGCATTCTTCCCCACGTCCCTGCTTGAGACGGGCCACGACATTCTCTTCTTCTGGGTAGCACGCGCCTGGGCGGTGCAACCGTCCGAGTACGTGCTGAGCGTGAATGGCGCGTAGGATGAAAAAAAGCCCGTTGATTCATAAGGTGTGGAACACATCTTGCGGATGTGTTTTTGTTTGCCCCCCGTTCGTATCCTTTGCTTGAATCCAGATCAACATGATTGCTAGCTGAACACATGATTCCCCGTTCAACCCAACGCACCCAAAATACAGGTACAGGGTGAGTTGAAGCATCATCTTTATAACCATGGGTTCTTGTAATCCTTGGGCCAACCAAAAAATCGCATGGCCTGAGGTTCATCCCCAACACATAGGGGGCATTGTAACCCTTGAGTTCATCCCCAATAATCAGGTTGTACCCCTTGGGCCTTCGCAGAAGAATATTTTGCCTGGCCGGGGAAGTTCCTCGGATGGGTTTACATAGGGGTAAGCTGTGGCATCCCCACAAGGGACATCCCCAGATCCAGGAGTTGTGTAACCTGCTAGCATATTCGCACGAAAAGCAGATTGGTCGATAGCTCGTTTGGTTGGTTGGTTGGTTGGTTGTGGTTTTGGTTTTGGTTAGTTGCTTGCAAGGCTGGTTGGTTGGTTGGTTGGTTGGTTGGTTGGTTGGTTGGTTGGTTGGTTGGTTGGTTGGTTGGTTGGTTGGTTGGTTGGTTGGTTGGTTGGTTGGTTGGTTGGTTGGTTGGTTGGTTGGTTGGTTGGTTGGTTGGTTGGTTGGTTGGTTGGGGGTTGTGGCTGGGCTGAGCTGGGCTGTTGGGCTGGGTGAGGCATGGTGATGATGTCTCTGGGCCTCACGGGGAAGCTGCCCTTCCACACGGTGTACCTGCACGCCATGGTGCGGGACGCCCACGGCCGGAAGATGTCCAAGAGCCCTGACCTTTCCAATGTTGCGCTCGCGGCGTCCGCCGCAAAAACAAATGGACGACGACTTGGTGGCTGATCAATATTGCCTTCGGCCCCCAACTGACCATGGGTAACTTTTTCCATTTGGGACATATCAAATCTTGTTAGTGTTTGGAAATTAATCGTTTTGGGGATTCCCTTAAAGGAAAGTATAGGGGATGGTTCATAGGGCTCATCCCCTCATTCCCTGAGCATCCGCAAGATGACCATGGGTATCTGTTCCCATGTGGGACATATCAAATCTTGTTCGTGGTTTTCCCCAATGGTGATCCTATGTAAAGGACCTTTTGATCAACCCTCATATGCCCGTCCCGTCCCGGGACCCAACAAAAACCATTTGGTGGATCCACTTCTCGTCAGAGCGGTGCACTTTTTCGGTTGGTAAGGAAACACCCCAGGAACTTGGGGGTTCCCCTATCTTGAGACACATCTAGCATCAGCGAAAAATGGAGATCTCCAAAGGTTACCCCCCCTTTCCCCCAACTGTCCTCAGATTCCCTGCCAAAAGTGAATAACTTTAAGTGGGTAAAATGTAAATCCAACCACTTCAGCAACTGAATCAAAGGCGAAGAAAGGCACCGGATGGGAAGATCCCCTACTAAAACAGGTACCAAAAGTTCAACTTTCAGAGGGTGAAATGGAACCCAGCCACTGGACCAGCTCAAAAAAACTAAAGGGCCAAGTTGAACCGGCTCTCTGGGAATACCTCAGCCCGCCAAAGGGGAACATTGATTTGTGAGTCACAATGAGACTCGGAACCCAGGTTTGCTCTTTGTTGTTTTCCGGGAAACAAAACCCTTGTTTGGGGCGTACCCAAAAACCAACCCAATTGGAGGAATTTCTAGTTGACAGCTCTTCTTAAAGCAATGCCAAGTCAATAGATATTGGGTATTGGAACGCTTTGGTTCGGAGAAAGTTTTGGGTTTGCCGCATTTGGACATGCGCTCCGGTGCAAAATTGGGGCCCGATCCAGCCAAGGAGCTTGGGCAACGTGATCGACCCACTAGAGGTCATTGACGGCATCTCCCTAGAGGACTTCGGTTTCCAATCGGCGGGGCCCGCTGAGCAAAACGGGATCAAACGTTTTAACATCCACAAACATGTCCCACCACCTAGCAAAACGGTTTTGTTGCATGTATAAGGGCCTGAGTCATTGGAACATGGGTGTGGGGTATCTTAAACAAAGTACTGTTGTCATGATTGCAGCAGTACAAATAACTACTTAGTATTTCTGTAGTCCCTTGTATTCCATTTTGGGTCGCAAGTGACTGCGGCTAGACTTGGGACCCCGCAAACCCCCAGAGGTACCCCCAGACTCTGCTGGTGTGCTTATAGCAAGGCCTATATGAATGTAAACCTTTGTAAACAGACCCTTTTATCGAAGCCCTGAGGACGGTAACTGGGCAACTCCATTGGGCATATGGGACATAGCCATATTAGTATGGAGACAAATGCCAATGCTGTCTTGTTTGGTTGATTTGGATTATTTCCCATTTACCCAAACATCAAGGGACCTCCCAGCCAATCCAAGCCACCAATCACGGGTATCCAAGTCTCTGTTGCCCAGTTTTTTTGTTGTTCCCGGGTAAGGGTTTAAACTCAACCAACAAAGAAGGGTGCCCATTTTTTTGCCATGGCCACTGGGCATCTGAGAAGTTCAAGTCTGACTTTTGTACCAAGAAACTCGACCAAGTGCAGAGTGTTCGAACTGTCCTGCGATCGCTGTGTTAGGATCTTCACAAGAAGCTCTACGAAGGGAATCTGCCTGACAAGGACCTGGTGAAGCGATACATTGCCGTCGGCTCCGTGTTTTCTTCATTTCTCCTGCAACAGGAATCCATTCCGCCTTGTCCGTCCACTTTGTTTGCTTTGTTTCTGATGAAACTATATGTCATGATCCAGCTGTGGGAACTTGAAACATCCTTTTGTAATTTCCACGGGTGTTCAAATGGGGAAACATAGGGGACCGAGGCTGTTGCCAGGCTGTTGCCAGGCTGTTGCCAGGCAAGCAGCTGTTGCCAGGCAAGCTGCTGTTGCCAAGCAAGACGACGCATGTCCTGTCCAAGCTTCTGGATGAAATCCTGCACCGCCTAAGCAACCATGCGATTCCATTGTTTGGCGGTATTTATAGGGAATCATCATTCCAGGGTTTCTTAGGTGGTGCAGGATTTCGTCCATCCACAGTGTTCTATTTTCCCCAGGTCTCCACGCAAATCTATGACAACTGGAAGGGGACTTGTGCAAGTGGACGTTGGCAAAATTTGCCCTTATTTGGTGATGGTTTTTCTTTTGAAAACAACATTCTGTGTTGGGAGGGTCTTGTTGGAGGGAAACAAGCAGTTTAGAGCAGGAAGTGAGGAAAGGCCCTGGCGTTATCTGGAAAGCAGGGCGACGCCCCGGGCCGGCTCTCTCTCTCGGTTTGACCGAAACGCCGAAATGTGTTTTGCATGTTAGGAAATGTTGCGGCAGCAACAAGCGAACAAATGACTTTTCACAGGAGGACAAAGGGCAACCCAGTGATGGCTTGGTCACTTTGCGGCAACTCGACGTTTTCGACCTTTGTTGTCTCTGCGCAGTTGGCACTACTGAAGTCACACAGTCTTTGCAAAAGAGATTCGCCCCAAACGACGCCGGGACAGACGGACTTGCTAGCTATTCTTGGGTTGCTTCAACCCAAGAAACAAAAACAAGGGTGGACTATTGCTCTACTGCAGTTGCCATGGATTTTCCTCTGGGCGCAGATGTCTATCTTTGTGCCGATGCAGTCTTTGGAGCTGTCCAACTTTGGTCTTTTTAAAGCAAGCTTGATTTACGGGGTCCTACCAAAACGTCACGTTTGTTGAAGAAGCGTTTTTGACCCAGAGGGCGGTAGAAGTCATGCAGTCCAGGTGGGAGATCAAGGTAGGAAACTGGCTTTGCTGTTCTTGGTCTTGGCGTCCTCGCCATGGATATACAAGGAGGGAGGTCCACATCCCGTCAGGGGGCCCTCATCTTCCATTTGCTTAAGAATAGCCCTGTTGGTTTTAAAGGGAATCTATCACTATTGGATTTTTTTTCCAGGGGGCTCAAGCAAATGGAAGTCATGATTGTCATGTAGGCCTGGAGGAATTGTGGTTCCCTTCAAGTTTTGCGACTACCAAATCCCTTCAGGTTTTTGCCTAGCTTTGGGTTCCCAGTGAAACACCGCTCATTGGGTTCTAAACGGCCCCATAGTCTCAATTTGTCCAACAGAAAGCCAAAGCTGGAAGTGTTCGCATGTTTCAGACCCCTCAAGTAAAACGCCTGGCTCTGAAACGGGGTGCGCCCGCGTCCGGATCTGATAGCCAGGAGACAGAATGTGTTTAAGCAACCTCCTTTTGGTGCTCGGTTTGGCTAAGCCAGTTCGTCAACCACCCCTGACGGAAGTGATCTGTTGTTTGCCTTATCGTACCCCCTTCTTGTTTTTCCGTTATTTTGCGGGGGCGATTGATCCCAAAGAGTTATACCCACTAAAATCAGGAAGGGTTACTCACTAAGATCGCAAAGGGCTACCCACCAGGAGTCCCGCCTACTTATAAGTTCTGTTATGGAACTTAAGATGAACTTTCGGACAACTTATGAAGTCTAATGTTGGACCTGCTTTAATGTGACCCACCCCCCTTCAACAACCAGTCTTCTGGACCCGCTTTAGGGAAGATTCTGGGGGTTGGGAGGGACAGTACTGACTTTAGCATTGCCAGTTCTACTTTAGTATTGCCAAGGCCCCCTCTCAAACTCCCAGGACTTACTGCAGGATTGCAAATTCTACTTTAGTACTGGCAAGGTTTGTTTTTCCAGCAACCCCCCAAGATAGTTGGACACTAAACAGGACTCCAAAACAGTCACATTAAAGAGGATCAGGGCCTCTGTGGGCACCGGCCTTTGCGCGAATGTTTGCCCCTACTTTTTGTAAAGAAGTCATCTCAAGTTCAATGGTTTGCCGACCACTGGCAAAAATGGATTTCTTGATGCAAGGCGTTTACCCGTTGAGCTAGTGAGAGCTTGGCTGGGTGAACCACGTAAAAGGCTAAGAGCTTTAATATCAGAACTTCAGCAACACCCAACAATGGTTGGGCACAAAAGAGGACCCCAGAACAGTCACAATAACGAGGATCAGGGCCTCTTGTGGGCAACCCCCTTTAGGCCAATGTCTGCCCTTGCTTTGTTCTAAAGAAGTATTCTTGAGTTTGATGGTTCGGGAGCCGTTTCAAAAAAAGGAATTCGCAATTTTGCCCGGATTTGTTTGACAGACTTCTAGTTGTTTTTGCTCCATATTTTTTCCCGGCTTTTCTTTTTGGCGATTGTTTTGGGACAAATTTGCCACAATAGAGGACCCCAAAAACAGTCCAACGATCCTCAATACAGGCTACTGCCATTGAAGCGTTTCCAACATTAGTTATAACTGCACTTCTAAGTAGGCCGTAAGTAGCGTAGGTGTTTCGCGGTGTGCGGGCCCTTTTTTGATGCTGCGCAAGTTCACGGTTCATCTCGTCTGAAGGTGTTTTTTCCATGTTTTTTTCGTGATTCAAGGAGGTTGACGTTTGTCGTTGTTCCAAAAGCATTGGTACTGCAGAGTGCGAAAAAGCAAGCCCGGCTCGAACAGGCGATGGAAACTGACCTGAAAGGGCGCAAACCAGACGTGCATTCAAGCTCATTCTTTACAAGCGCTGGAACAATATCCACCGACATTTCATTGCCATTCGCTTACATTCCACCAGCCACCAAGAACACACCCACCGGCATTCACCGACATTGTTCAGCCTCTATATTTTCCTCGGACGAAGATTCCACCGACATCCACCGACATTGATTGCCCCGACTCCCTTGAAACCCTACGTAATCAAGCGTAAACTTACCCCACTGACATTTTTCCTCCACGTGCGCCCCAGACCCCCCCCCCCCCGCCATCCACCGACATTTCACTGACATGCCTTTGGAGCACATCTATTCTTATTTCTCCCCGCAAAAAGTTGAAGGGGTCAACAAAACATGTTCGAGTCACAGGATTCGCATGCCCTGCGCGGACCCTTGCAGACAAACAAAAATCCCAAGTAGCGTAAGTAGTTTGTAAGTCTGCTAAGTATGCTCCACGAAAACAGCCTATGTTACTTATAAGCACCGCCCTAAGTATGCTAGCTTTCACGAACTACATGACACTTACCTCTTTTATCACCTCTGCTGCTGGTCGTATAACTACTGCGCAACTCGTAAGTGCTGTTCTAAGTAAGCGGGACTCATGGCACTAAAGCCGGGAAAGGGGGTCGTTTTTGAACGCGTGTTTCGGCTGGTTTTTGAACTGGCCAAGTGGGTGTGAATCACAGCCCCGCAGTTTCGGTGGCGCAACGGCACAGGGATGGCGACCCTGGATTACTCACACCTCACGTCGGCGCTCTGGGGCGTGTGCAGGGGGCTTGTAGGTTCGCGTTGTTGCGCTGGAAAAGAGGAAGAAGGCAAAGACGTGACGTGCTGTCTGTATAAAGCAAAATTTTAAGCAGGTTGCGATCTGCAAATGGTTTATTTCGAGAAGCAGGTTGCGTTCTGCGAATGTTTTGTTTCGAGCGAATCAGGCGATCTGCGAATGTTATTTTTTGCAGGTTGCTCGTGAAGGGCGCCCGCCAAAACTGCGACGGGTTACCAACTAGAATCGCGACGGCTTACCAACTAGGATAGCAAAGGGTTGGTTACCCACTGAAATTGCGAAGGGTTAACTCACTGGCTCACAGGGTTCCATTGGCTGCGCTTCTTTTGAATTCTTTACATGGTCTTGGGATTACGACCACATGAATACAGATCGGTTTTGCTTATGACTCATGTTGAACAAGCCCAGGGCAGGAAAAGGTAGGCCCATCCACTAAGGTTTTTTGTTGAGTTGGTTACCCCACTGATTCTCAACGCGGAAGCTCAATGAAGCCATGGTAGAAACGCTTCGCGGAAGGTACCCCTGCAATTGGCGGAAGGCTAAATAAGTTTAATTGAATCATAAGGGGCTAAACCGTTTGTTATGGGTTATACACCGATTTCAAGAAACACCACTTAAACAATAATGAACATCAAAGAAGGAACATGTAACAGAACGACAAGACATGAGCTTAGACAAAAACAATCATATCTCATGACTTCTCTCACACACCTTGTTGAATGAGTCATCTGAAAAGAAGAGCAAAAAGAGAAAACAAACAAGAAGGTCGACTAGTTTTGAATTAATTCTCAGGGAAATCGTTTAGAAGCCGCCACCCATCTCCTTTTCGTTCAGGAGATCGAGAAGGCCAAGAAGGGCCAGTCCCAGGAGTACCCGGACGGCATCCCCGAGTGCGGCGCCGACGCCCTGCGCTTCGGGCTCTTGGCCTATACCCTGCGGCCCGGCGGGGAGCGAAAAGAGGGGAGAGGAGAGGCGCGAAGAAGAGCGACAGCCCTGGAAAAGCGGGGGGCTCCGCCACGTCCTTTGTGTTCCACCCAAAAATACCCAAAATGGCAATGGTGTTTCTGATTTTTTTGGACCAAAGGTGGTAATTTGGTTGGAACCCACCAGTAAACTGAGACTTTTGAAGGGGACGTCTGCCATTTCCTTCCTTTTTTGACCTCCAAATGGAATGGAGCAAATTGAATGGAGCTAGCTATCACTGGCAACTTTGTTGGAACCAGTAAACTGCGACGTTTGAAGGGGGCATCTACTGAAAAATGGAATTGGGGAGGGGGGGGTGACCCCTGGAATTCGTGATTGTTTCTTTCAATGTTCTATTTTTGTGGGAAGACTAGAGACATTGGATTGGGGGGCCCTCCAGAAGGTAGGGGGGATGCGAAAAGGTTTAGAAGTAGGATCTATTTTGCAAGAAATTGACATCAGCCATCATCAAACCCTAAATCAGTGAACGTTGGGTGACAGTCCCAAGCAGAATCAGGTGCGGAGATCCGCCTTTTTAGTTGGGCGGACCAGTTTGGTACTTGGTTCTGATTGTGACGCACAACATCCATTTGCAACGTGTCATTGTTTAGGAAGACCCAAGAAAGGCAGATCCAATTTCGGGACAGGTCTTCCAAGGTACCCACCCACCTGTGTCCTATGGACGTTTCAGTGGGAGAATGACATGGAAGAATAACGAGCTCACCTGGTAATAAGGAGCTCACTCATGATAAAGACCCCAGATTTCGCAATTTAGGTTGGCAAAGTATACCCCTACTCCAAATACATTTTTTTCAGGGTATGATGTCAACAGCTTTACAAAATAATACCCTAAACGAGCGGGTGGTTGGAGCATGCAGACTCTTGCGCTTCAACGTCCTAGGCAGGGCAGGAACGTGAATTTGGACATCAACCGCGTGGTGGGTTGGCGGCTATTTTGCAACAAGGCAGGCGCCAGTGTTGGGCGCGTAGAGTTTTTCCAGTTTTCAAGGGTTCCACAGACGCCTGGCACATAACCCACAAGGATAAGCAAGACAACAAGGGGGAAATATGCCCTCAATATGGGTAAATATGGCTTATTTGGGGCCTTTAGGTAACTAAGGGGTAAAAAGATGCCCTAATTAAGGCTTATAACTATCATATCTGGGGGTCAGTGGGGGAAGCCTTTGATTTTTTAGGATAGAACCGAAAGATGCTGGCGCATGTTCTCGGCTTGATTGGAAGATAGGTCACAATTACCGGTCATCGACAGCAACATGCTTCCCGAGGTAAGTGTCTTTCTGATACTTGCTGGGAAGACCATTTTTGGCCAATCCACGCAAGGACACAACAGGAATCTGAAAAGGTGCAAGACTTGAAGCTCTGGCGGATGTGGGAGTTGACCATTTTTTGGGTCAACGTGCTCACTGTCAGAGCTCATTGCAGCAGATAGTGCCCTTCTCTTTTTCTGAGGGGCCCCTTTTCGGTTTTGCGGTGGAATCCAAAAGGACATCCACCAACCTGAACAAAACAAAGCTTTCATTTTCTATTTGGGGGGGGGGGCGGGGTTAACGTCATGTTAATGTTGCGCCCACTAAAGCTTCCACAAAACCCACTGCCCCGTTTTGTGCTCAAAAGACTCCCCGATATCCCCCCTGTCCGCACGCCATGGGAATTAAGAGGGAAACACTCGTAAGTTTGGGGCGATAACCCATGTTTTCAAGGTAATTTCAGGGTCCAAGTAAATGAGTACTTTCCTAGTATACTCATAAGCGTTGCAAAGAACGTGGGCCTCACAGTATTGAAGTTACGCCCTTGTTTCTTTTTTTGTTTTTTGTGTTTGGGGCCGGGGGGGGGGGGGTTGAACATAAAACTACCAAAACAAGAGCGCCTGTTCGTTTTTGCCATGGAAAGCCGCTAGGCGTCATTCTGCAACTACCCCATAGCCCCAGGGCCGTTGAAAGGATGTGGTCCGTTTGTGTCAGTTTGTTTCAAAAAAATCTGCAATTTGCTTAAGAAAATGCGATAGTGTCCCTGTTGGTTTTAAGCCGAATTTATTACTGCTGGACATATTGCTTTGTTTCTCCCCCAGGAAAGTTTTCAGCAAATGGAAGTGACAAGAGCTTGATTCAAGCCTCCGGACTCTACTTGGGTGTTCGGCCAGGGTACGTTGTTCGTAATTGGTAAGGTTACAACCCAGTAAGTTACAATCCACTTGTAAATCACCACAAGTGCAGTTCACCTTGTTATTGGGCCACAACTCCCAAGTGGCCAACCCTTGCCCTGGCCCAGCATCCCAAATGGCTGTGGGTCAAAACCAATTGTACCATTTTGGGGTAGGTGCACTGCACCACCCCTTGTAGAACCTATTTGAGTGGGGATTGAGATGTTCACTGGGGGCCAACCGGTATTTTGACCCATGCCCAAACTTCGAGGCGCTTTTTCCGTCTTCTTCGTTTTCCGCCGTGAGAGAGAGAGGTGTGGAACGCCACGCGCTTCGGGCTCATGTACTTCGGACCGGAGTTCCGGTTCCCGGGGTCCTTGAAGCCGGACCTGGCGCTGGCCTGGGAGGACCGCTGGATCGTCTCCCGGCTCAGCCACTGCGCCGCCAGGATCAACGCGCCTCGGCGCAAACGAGCGAAGCCAAGAAGCAGAGCTCCGGATGTTTGTTGGGGTTCTTGTTTTGATCTCCAAGCGATGGTTGGTGATTCCCCCAAATACCGGGGGTTGTTTTCATAGGGTCGGGAGACTCCCGGCTGGTGTTCTGTTGGGCCTACAGGCTTTGTCGAAGTCAACTCGCGAAAAGCGAGGGCTTCGGGATGTGGAAAAATCGCTTTGGGTTTCCGAGCCATTTAGCTTTCAAGGGAACCTCCAAAAGCGATCGGTTCAATAGAAACCGCCAGTTAATTGCAACTGCGGAAGAAGAAATCCAGTTTGGCGGCTGGACCATTTGGGTGGTAAACAAAAAGCTTGGGCTGGTATTTGGCCAATCCACTCACTCGAAGGTGAGTTGCGAACCCGTTGCTCAACGAGGTTCACTTGTGAGTTTGCACATGTTTTCCTTGGGGCTCCCAGTTGCTTTGGCGTGTCTAGCTGTTACTTCTGCGTTGTTGATTTGCTTGTTTTGTTTGTTCGTCTGACTGCTACTCTTACTCTCACTCTCACTCTTACTCTTACTCTTATTCTTATTCTTACTCTTACTGTTTTGTTTGTTTGTTTGTTTGTTTGTTTGTTTGTTTGTTTGTTTGTTTGTTCAATTGTTTTGTGTGTGTGTGAGACTGTCTTGTTTATGTCTAGTGGAGGACGCAAAACGCGGCCGCTTTTGGCTGACTTGCGACGTTTCCCTTGTATGGGGAATACAGGACTAGGTCCCCTTTTACCCTTTTTGGGGGAGGGTTCCCCACTATTCTAACCTCTCTTCTGGAGGACCTAGAGGATATATGGAAGTCGGGGACCCCACACCCCGCGAGTGTGGTTGATTGAAGTGGGCAAACAGGTCTCCCTCCCCAACTCAGATGGGCTTTCTACGGAAGCCTAGAGCCCGGAATGCAGTTGGGTTCCCATTCCTACAGAGACCCATTTGGAGCAGTTGAGAAGCGGGGGGCAAGAAGTTGGGGATCGGAGGACCAGAAAGGGGTCAATGAGGGGAACCCGTTCTTGCGCCTCCCAAAACCCGAGCCCAACGTCGGCCGTATAACCTTTAACTTAAGCGGTTTCCTTGATTTGTTCCACATTTAACAAGGTTCCTAAATATTAACTTTGTATTTCCACGTGCTTATTTGTTCCATATTTAACAAGGTTCCTAAAAAGGAATCTTGTATAAATATGAATATTGTATTTCCAGGTGCTTTGGGCAAGATGAAAATGCAAGTCCAAAATTATGGGGCCTGGAGAGCAGGGTCCGACAACATATTGTCCCATGACTTTGTTTGACATGTGGGTGTGGGTCAAATTTAAACCACCAGGGGACCGCGGGTTTTAGTCCATGTTTCCATTTACCAGGGTTCCATTTTGGGTACCTATGTTTGACCCACAGCCATGTCTGTGGGCGAATTTCCGGGTTATGCTTGATGGGGACATCTTCCAAACCTGGTCGCACTCCAATGATCCAATCTCAAATCCGTTGTGTTCTTGGGTGTGTCTCAAATAGGGGAACCCCAAAATGCGTGGCTTCCCGGTCGTTCCCCTTCAAATCAATCCCAAAAAGAGTGCCCTGAAAAGGGCGCCCCTGCTTGTAAGGATGCTTGGGCTCTGCAAGAGCCTTCCAGTTGAACTGTGTTCAGCTAGATTCCCTTTTTGGCTGGCTTATAGGGAGGACATGAGCAGGGGGGCCCTTGAAACGAGGCGCCCGTTCACGTTTTTGACATGGTGAATGGTTTGCCAAGAGCACGCGGCCAGATCAAAGGGCGCTCTTCTTTCGGGTATTTAGTTCTCTTGTTTCCATCAATTGAGTCTAACAGCTGAAAGTTATGGGGTCTTTGCTCAGATATTAGATTCGGGAGGATTCTGGCGGGTTCCAAAAGTTTCTGGGGTGTTGGGGATACCTGGACTGATTTTCCCAGCCATACAGATGAGTCCATTTAGGCCAAAGGAGTCGAGGAAATCTTAAACCAAGCTGAGGAGAGCATGGAGAAGTACGAGTTCGCCAATGCCACCAGCGCGGCGCACCAGCCTTTTGCCTGCAGAGTTGGCAGTGGGTCCAAAAACACGTACCCAAAATTGAGCCCAAGTCGTAGCATGGGCTACCTGCGGTCTGGTGGTTGAGTTTTGACCCATCTCCAGTAGCCTCGCCGGGGCGAGGCTGGCAGAGCTTCTGGAGTTGAAGGGTCACTTTGATGGGCGAAGATGGAGCCGCCAGGGAAAAAATAAAAACCGCGGGTTTCGGTCTAGGTTTGTATGTACCCGCAGCCGCGTTTTCAGTCTAGGTTTCAGTCTAGGTTTCAGTCTAGGTTTCATTCCATGTTGGGTACCTACGATTGCCTATGATTGACCCGCAGCCGCGTTGTTTGTTTTTGTCTTGGACTGTTTCGTGGCCAACAAGTTTGGTTATTTTGCCGCCTCGTAAAGTGAGAGGTTCAGGGGAAACCAAAGATTTGAAGTCTGTTTGAATTTGAGCCATCCATCAAAATCGCAAAGTGTTATTTCGAGTGGCAGCTCCGCAAGTGGCAGCGGCACCCAGCACCCATTTCGACCAAACCAACGGGAAATCATTTGTGCGGGTGATGTTCTAGTGGATACTGGAGTAGACTTAGGATACATTTTACATTTTTTGTGACTTCAAGTGAAGCAAGCAATAAAATATACATTCTATAACTAGGCCTAACTCTAATAATGTAAGAATAGCAAGACCTGTTTCTCCGGTGAGTTGTCTGGGTCTACCTCGAGAGCACGCTTATTGTATTGGCAGACGTACTCTGGATGGACGAAGTCCGTTCGCACCACTTTGAAACTAATCACGGGAAACCATAACGTTCGTTGGCATTTACAGGGGAATCGAATCATGCCACAGTATTAAACGTGACTTAAGTGGATTGTATAATTTGATGCTCTTTCTGCCAGCGGTTCCTGCAATGGACGCAGGATTCCAAAGAGGAATCTACCATATTAAACCTCCATTTGCTTAAGAGTACTTTTTATTTTCCCTTGTTGGGTCTAAAAGGAGTTCATCACTACTAAACATATTTTTGTATTCTTTCCTGGGGCCTTGACCAGATGGAAATAGATGTGTTTGCCCGAATCTGAACCAGTCGTTTTGCGCGCCTTCCAGTTGCGGGAGTGCCAAGAGCTCTTTTCGGTCTTAGGTTCTTCCTCTACGAGCTCTGCGACGTGTATCTGGAGCTCCTGAAGCCCCGCTTCTACGGGGAGACCGAGGAGGCCGGCTTGGTTTGGCGGGGCGCGGGGCCGCGGTGCCGCGGGGCGCTGCTTTGGGTTCGGCCCGGAGCCCAAAGAGTTTGTTTTTTTTTCAATAAGGTTGACCCCGGATGAATCAACTCCAGTGCTCGTTCCGAGAATTTGTGCGTAGAACCCTTGGACGAAAATTAGAGGGCGATTCCTGGTTTAATTATCTACCAGAGAAATCCATATATTTGTCCTACAAGGATGGACCCAAGAAAGTCCACACTTGTTGTATGCCACTAAAATTGTCTTCCCAAAAAGTATAAAGTCCATGAACTCGAAGACTGAATACACCTATGCTTGCAAATTTGTCGCTTCTGGCGAATTCCGGGCCATTCTGGGCCCTCGTGGAGTCCAAGGATTCAAATGGGTGTGGTTTGGAATAGACCCTCCCAAGCGTTTTCCTAGGGCACCCTCCAAGCTGTTGGTTTTCCTTGTGGTCTCCCTTTAAAACCCTCCAGCAGCGGGTAATCATGTTGAGACCCGAATATGGGGGTGGGCCCCTCCAGAAGTGGTTTGCATCCCCACGAAGAACGAAAGCACCCCCCCCCTATTAATAAACTGGTGTTTATGAAACCGGGGTCAACATTGGACCCCTCACTTGTCCAAACCGAATCGACCGGATCTGACCGTGTGGTTTCCTTTTGTGGCACCAAGGCCCTACAAGGTTAACCTCGTGTTTCTGGATCCTTTGGGCAACTGCGAATAAATCCCCACTTTAAAGTGAAGTTGGGGGGGACTGACCCTGGAATTCCATAGTTTCATTGCGGAGACTCTTCACCAAACGCTTGTCGGTCTCTTTTTTTTGGTGGTTCTACCGAGTTTCATAGGGGTTGTGGTAAACATAGACCTGAATCACTACCTTGATGGAATCGACAAGTCAAGCTTTATTTTCTTTTTTGCAGATGAGCCTGGGTGAGTTTTTGGCCGGCGAGGTTTGTGCCGAGTGCCACAGGAGAAGGTCTTGAAGGACCGCGAGGTGGCGCGGCAGGTGCTCTACGTGTGCCTGGATTGGTCCATGCGGCTCATGCACCCCTTGCTGCCCTACCTCACCGAGGACGAGCGAGCGAACGAGCGCATCCACGCAGTTGGGTGTGCCTTTTTTTTCAGGAATCAGATCGGATCCCCCAAAATGATGGTGTTCCTTGGCTAGGTCCCCCAGCTAGGTGCCCTTTTACCGTTTCTTTTTGGTTGGGAGGGTTCCCCTGCTAAAATAGACTACAGAAAAAAGGCCTTATTCTATCCTCTCTACTGGATGACCCAGCATTCATTTGGGTGTGCCTTTTTCTGTAGGAATCAGATCGCACCCCCAGACCACCAAGCAGGGGGTGCCAACACCCCCCAAAAGCCAGCACCAATGTTGTTTGGGAGGACTTCTTTGAAGGTCAAGATTGTGAATGACCCTCTTTTTGCCAACTGCCATGGAAGTGAACAGAGGGGTTCCCCCCAAAGAAAAACAATATTCCATCATCCTCCTGTGAGCTTCCAAGCAGATAAATAAATACATGCTAAGTTATATACATATAGATATCTCACAGTCCAAGCGCTGGATAAGAATCAAGGCTCGTCAGACTCAGAGACCCTCAATTTCTTACGTGCAATGTGCACGTGAAAGTCAGTGTTTGTGTTTCAGGCTCCCTCAAATTCTTGGCAAATTCTTAAGTTAGTCACGACTCCACGACAGCCGCTTGTGGCTGCAGGGTTTGGGTGCAGCAGAGGGTGTACGGTCTTAGAATCAGAGACATGACACTTGCTCTAGCAGACAAGCCTCTTTCAAGTCACCCAAAATATCATCGCATTCTTGGGAAACCTCAATTCTTAGCAACCCTCGAACTTGTAGACCCTCAAATTCTTGGGAAACCTCAATTCTTAGCAACCCTCGAACTTGTAGACCCTCAAATTCTTGGGAAACCTCAATTCTTAGCAACCCTCGAACATGTAGACCCTCAAATTCTTAGGAACCCTCAAATTCTTAGCAACCCTCGAACTTGTAGACCCTCAAATTCTTAGGACCCTCAAATTCTTAGCAACCCTCAAACTTGTAGGAGCCCTCAAATTCTTAGGACCCTCAAGTTCTTGGCAACCCTCAAACTTGTAGGAGCCCTCAAATTCTTAACCCTCAAATTGATAAGGAACCTTCAAAATGTTAGGAACCCTCAAATCATTGCGTCTTCCCGTCCTCTTTCCGGCTTCTTCCCGTCTTCCTGGCCTGTTCCCGCCTTCTTAGGCCTCTCGGCCTCTTTCCTCTGCCCTAAGAATTTGAGGGTTCCTAAAACTGAAGGGTGCCAAAAAAACTGGGGGTTACTAAGAATTTGAGGGTGCCTAAGAGCTTGAGGCTTGGCAAGAACTTCAGGGTTCCTAAGAATTTGAGGCTTCCCTTGTCGAGAAAAACGAGGTTCCGCAGAAGTGTTCTGCGAAGGGTTCTGACAACTAAAGTAGGCAGAACCACCTATCCAAAAGTTTCGAAGCCAATTTGCGGAATCAGGCTGGTGTGGTGGGCTCGTGGGCGAGGGAGCTCTGATCGAACACAGCATGGTTGTTGTTGGGAAACATGTTACCCATTTTTGCCTATTGTGGTTTAGTGGTTGAAATCCAACCACTTAACTGCTAAAACTCTTTTGTTTGCTTGGTTTAGTGGTTGCCATCCATCCACTTAACTGCTAAGACTTATTTTTTGTTTGCTCCCCAAACCCAACGATCAACGTCAAGTCAGGAGCTGTACCAGCGGCTGCCGCCCTCTCCGGTGAAGTGCGAGTCCATCTGCGTGGCGCCCTTCCCGACCACGGTGCACGCCTGGCGCAACGAGGCGCTCGAGAAGGAGATGGAGGCCGCACCGAGCCGAGGGATTTGTTTTTCTCCGATGCCGATGTTTTTTCCCTGGGGTTCCACATGCCCCCAGGAAAAGAATGGCCCCAACAAACCAAGTTTAGATGAAGATCAATCCCAGGGCTCCGTAAAATATGTATACAATTTGCCACCAAATTTGAAACATGTGGCTTTTTCAGCACCAAATTATTAAAGGGAAACCACAATTTACAAGTTGCAATGTTCAGGTGTATAATGTAAGGATCCCGGCTGGGGTTCTAAACGCCCCCAGTAAAAGAATGGCCCCAGAAAAACCAAGTTTAGATGAAAATACATCCGAAGGTAAACAACGGTGGTTATATGTTTATATTTTTATGGTGGTTTGAACCCCAGATCAATTGTTGTACGTGGATCCCCAAAATTGTGAGTATCCGCAAGCTTTCCATTTAACGCAATGAAACAAACAAAGGGGGGTACCTTCAAAGAGGGACGCGCCTATTTCGTATGCTAGCTATGTTTTTATTTTTTGGGGGGGGGGAACACGAAAAAATCGTTCAGTGTGATTGCCCCCGATGGCCAATAATTCGGCTTGGGGCTTCATTGGGTCCAACCACTTCACCTCCCCAGAATTCGCTCCCCTTTTTGCTTTGTTGCTTTTTGGGGTGCCTTTGTTTTCCACCACCCAGGCAAAAAAGCTATATCTTTTTGCTGGGGTCCTGATTCCAGCCAAGTTCAGGAGGAGACTTCGGCTTGGGGAGGGCTGGGGCGGGGGTCCCAGCTTTGGAGATTGCGGAGACTCAGCCGGTTGGGACGCGAACATGTGACATCAATCTGAAAGCATGTGGCATTTAGTTGTAGACTAGAAAAGAGGAGATTAGGAAATGTTTGATGCCTTTTTTGGGGGGGGAACCCTAAAACTAGCTTCAAGACTTTCAACTCCATGGGGTTGACTTGCAAAAACTTTGAGCCCATCACCAACCCAAACCTCCGCAAATAAGCAGAGGTTGATTAATCCTGGGAAAAAGGACCCTTCGCTTGAGGCAATGGGATTTAGACCACCAATGTACTGGGTCCATTAAAGTGAGCATTTTGAGGGATTGACTCAGTGGTACCCTTCAAACCACATTCTTGAGAAACGTAATGAAGATGTCTACTCAACCATGCCCAGATCGTAAACATGCATTGGGACCTAAACAGCTGAATTTGGGGGAGGGGGGGGAGTTTGGAATTCCATGTATAGTTCCATTTCCGTTTTATGGGGAAGACTAGAAAAATGGACCTAAGGGGCCCCCGCCCCCCTCCCACATAAGGTTGGGGGGATGTACACCCTTAAAGGAACCCACAAATGAATGCACACATCCTATGGCCCGACATGATTACGTTCATCGTCCCAGGGAACCTACAGTGGCTTTCGTTCACCCGCCTCTCAAGTGTCCTTTCTTTACCCACAGATATGGTTGGCTTTGTTTCTGTTTCCCAAGTTTCGGATTGTTTCGCCATGTCGTTCCCCCCTTTGTTTCGCAGACGAGCTTCTTTTTTGCCAAATCTGGTTGGCAACTCGCAATTGTTTAGCCAGACGAGTGGTTTTTGTCCCCAACCCCAACAAACCTGGTTGGCAACTCGTCCTCGTCCCCTTTTTCTTCTTCTTTTTTTTCTCCGTTTTTTTCTCGGCGCGTTCGAGGCAGACGAGTGTTTTTTTTCAAGCCCATGGTTGGTTCACCTCGATCCGCCTGGAGTCTCCATGACCCTTAAGAAACGGGCCATGGCCCCTAAATTTCGGGACATGATCAAATATTTTTTAAGGGCCTTCAGGGTCTACCATCTTCCAGGTGAACAATTGGTGCTTCTCGGGAGGGCTACATGGTAGGATCTACCACGCTTTATTCGGGAGAAAGGCGCTGACACAATTTTCTTCCAGGTGACCTCGGAGGTGGCGCGGCAGTTCCGGTCCCAGAAGACCTCGCTGGGCTTCTCCCCGGGCGCACGGCCCGGGGCCTTCGTGCGCCACGAGGAGCGGATGTCAGGTCTCCCCCTGAAATCTGCTGGTCTTCCTTGGACACTGGGGGGATCGGAGATCGTGCCAGGAGCGGTTTAGAGGCCCAAAGACAAAAAGAGTGAGCTTCCGGTGGTTTGGATTTGGATTCGAACCCTAGTTGGAGCCCGGTGGTCTTGTCCCCAGCAAGGGTGGCTTGGGTGGATTGGTGGTTTGGAGTTGGATTTGAACCCGCGAGGGTAAAGGAAAACCCTTCCTGGACCAAAGCGCCAATCCAAGCCAATGGGAAGCTGAAGCTTGGCGTTCTGTGGAGGGATGGGTTCCACGAATCGATTTGACTGCACGGCCTTGATGTTTTTGGGGCTCTAGCCGGCTTCCATTTGCAAAAGCGTGAATATAGGCTTGATTCTCCGCCTGTTGGCTTTAAAAGGGAGTCTATCACTACTGGATATGTGTTCTTCCGAAGGAGGTTTTGATGGACCTGCTTATATAGTTGCTTGAACATGTTGTGTATTGTTATTGTTTCCAAACAAGGAGGATGTGTGTATATAATTACTTGTTAGCCTGCATTTCAGCTTTTAGCAGCAATAGTTCAATTGACGTTTGCAACTGCAAAACAAAAGATTGTTAAGGAGTCATTTGATTCAGGGGTCAACTTCCCCAAACAGAGCGGAGGGCTTCTCAACAAGCGTGAACAATTGGTGCGAGCGGGGTCGAATTCTGAGCTTAGGGGAGGCGTGGCGATTGTTGGAGGCCGGTTAGATCTGAGGGTTGGGCTGTTCTGCCAAAAGAGAGGTGGTAGCTTGAAAACCAGGCTTTGGTTGCCAGACGAGAGCCAAAACGGCTGTTCAAAACATAGTGGATTGGTGAAGCCCCCGGCTCATACCAATCTTATGTGCAGGTTTAATTTAAGAACCAGGCTTTTTCATGGCGCCCTCCTTGTTGAGTCTATCGGGTTAGCATTGAATCTGGTACTCGGAGAAATTAGTGGTATTCTCATATTTGGGCTATAGTCTTTTTTTGAGGGTCCCCCCTCCATTTTTGGTGAATTTTGGTGGTTTTCAAGGGGAACCAGAAGGAAAACCACCGTCACGCTTGATTCCCATGCCCACGCCCGGCCGAAGCGAACGCGGACACTTTTTTTGTTGTCACACCTCAAGCGCCCTTGCGAAAGTTTGGGGTGAGTTGACTTGCTTATGATGATGTTTAAATTGTATGTTGCGGCAGTGGTCCTTTTGGTTGTCATTTAAAGCCAACTTGAGAAAGGTTACCAACTAAAAACGGAAAAGCAAACACACCCGCATTGAATTGTTAGTACCCATTTTGGGGTTTGGTTTGAAGGGAACCAAACAGGAACACACATTTTGAAGTTTTTATCCGATTTAAAATCCATTTATTCATTTAAATGGTGGACCCCCTTTTGGTTGCTAGTCAAAGGGAAACCACAGGACACCTATTCCACTTTAGGGAACCGATTCCTATTTATGATTTTCGGATAGACTGCGAGTATCGACCCTTTAGGCCTCTTCAACCAAACACGCACGCCAAAAAGAAGAAGACCAAGAAGATCCGAACGCACACGTGTTAGGAAGCAGCGAACGCCCCACCCAAACACACACGCCCAAAAAAAAATCACACCCCACCAAGACACACAAACACACCCCACCAAGACACCTGTTACCTAACTTCTATTTCGGTTCTTTCCGGGAAGCGAACAGCTCCCAGCCCAGCGAACGGCTTCCAGCTTCCACGCCGTGAAATTTGGCGAGGACTCCGAGGCGCGGCAGCAGCTGGAGAAGCTCACGGCCCAGATCGCGCGCATGGCCGGCCTGGGCTCCCTCGAGGCGCGCTCTCGCTGAGCGCTTCGAAGTGGCGGTCTCTTGCGGACGGCAGCGTTTTTCGGAGGGACGGCTGCCCAGTTTTCTTCTTCTTCTTTTTTGGCTGCACACATATTTCTTCTCTTCATTGTTTTTTGAAAGGTTGGTTTTTGTGGCGGTGCGTTTTTTTCTGGCTGGTGTTTCCCGGAAACGTGCCGCTGGCAGTTTATGGGTTTTCCTCCAACAGCTGAAAGCTAAGGGGTCTCAGCCCAGATAAGGTTGACACCTGCAGCTAGGTTCGAACAAGATTCCGCGAGGTGTAATTAAGTTCAAGGTTTAAGCAATGATTCCGGAGGTTCCGGTGGTCTGGTGCATACCAGCTGTAAGTTCACGGAAGGTTCCGGAGGTTTCGGGGTGGTCTGGTGCAGGGCATGTGTCAGGTTCAGGTTCGAGCAAAGGTTGCGCAGATTCCGGCATGGTGTGGCGCAGGCCAGGTGTAAGTAAGGTAACAGGAGGGTTCCGGAGGTCAGGTACAAGGTTCGAGCCATGTTCTCGGAGGTTCCGGTGTAAGGTTCAAGGAATGGTTCGGGTCTGGCGCAGGCCAGGTGTAGGGTTCAAGCAATGGTTCCCCAACAGCTCTCAGCCCTCTGAGGGAAGGATTCGCAACGTTCCGCAAGGGTCGAAAGCGAGCGCCGCTGTTGGGGATATCACCTGAGCTTATTCTGAACAAACAGCTTTCAACCCAACAGAGTTTGTCTCATGTGGAGACAACCACGATTTGTGAAAGAGGCCAAATCAAAACAGAAGTCTCTAGCGCTCTCCAAGGCCAACAAACATGATTTCCCCACAGCACTAAAACATCTCAATAAACATCAACATATTAATATATACATATATATATGATCCTACAGCTGACAGGGGAGGACAGGGTTCCAAAGCACACCAAGCTTGAAACAGACCACCGCAAGGTCATGCTCAAAACCCCCGAACAGGTTGAAACCAGGCGTTTTTTGTTTTTTTGCGTTTCGGGTCTCTCTTTTTTTTGGGCTTCCCAGTAAGAAGAACCAAAAAACAGGGACACCAGGCGGTTTTTTTTGTTTTTGCGGGGTTTTTTCCTTTGGCTTCCCAGTAAGAAGCGCCCAAGAAAAAATCCTCGAGCCAAAGGCCTGGGATCCTAATGCGCATAAGCTTCACAAGACCTGGGCCGATCTCTTCGCGGGTTATTTGTGGCTTAGGAGCGGCTGAGGTGTGAGACTTGGGTGTGGCTTTTTTTCTCCGAATCTTTCAAGAAAACGCGCTTGCTGGTTATGGTTAGGTTTCAAGGGAACCCCCCCCAATAAAACACGGTGGTTTGGGAACACCCGATTTTGAGACACTCCCATAGAGCACATAATCAAGGACTGCCGCCTTTGGCACACTCCAGTCAGGTGCTCGGCGAGGGCGCGGCGGACCCCAGTGGCACCATGCGGGACGTGGTGAACGACAAATGCCTCATCTACACCAAGGACAGGGCTTCGAATACATGGTTGTTGGGCAACATTTTACATTTTTGCTTATTGTGGTTTCGTGGGAAATCCCCACTTAACTGCTAAAAACATATCCCTTCCAACGTCAACCAAGAATAGGGTCTAAATGATTAGAATGATTGTGGGGTACGTGACAGCCAAGTTTACTTCGCTGTTGTTGGCAGGCGTTTAGTGTTTTCCAGGTTTGTCGGTTCTGTTCATATAGGAGCCTGCAAAAAAATCGAGCTTTTGCTACCATACTACCATACCAAGAGTTGTGGATCTTCATGATTGCAAGATAACTCAATTTGTGATAATTCAGCTTAAGGACCCTTGTCTGGTTTTGTCTTGCGATCTGGGGTTCTTATTTGCTCGGAACCCCCCAAGTATCGCAAGTATCAGACTCTGGCTTCCTCAGCCCGTGCTTTTTTTTGTCGCGGTGCTCTTGTGTTCGAGGTCCAAGCTTACATGAGCGACTAACTTCATTTACGTTAATGGAAACATGCAGGGGGCTGGAACTATTTTTTGGAACAAATAAAAGCCGTTGCTCACATGTCTATTCCCAGGCTGAGAACACCGCGCGAGCTTCTTTTACCTTTGCACTTTCCAAGATTTTTTCCTATGTTCAAGAGGTTTCTTCCTCATGTTAAGCTAGGGCCAAAGAATCGGTCTTGATCGCTAGTGGGTTGGATCTTCAGACTTTGACTTGTTGGTTGAACGCTTCCGAATTGAACCCACTCAAAAATGATACACGTCTTGCATAGTGTTTTTTTAGCAACCAAGTGGCTTATCCAGTCAACTCATCAGATCAATTGCATTCGCACTTGGCCTCAGACGAGAGAAGACCGATCGAGAGAAGGGATCTGCCTCGGAGTTGATTGGGGTTTGACGTGTTACGCCGACCTTTTTGGTTGCTACTTTTACAAGATCCTCAGCCCCGTTTAAGGATGGAATTGGAGGAGGGGCTGAGCCCAGAAAATCCATGTATGTTTCCATTGTCCCGTTTATGGGGACGACTAGACAAATGGATTTGGTGGACCCCGACGCCCTCCCCGGTAGGTTGTTTTTTTTTCAAGAGTTTCCTCTTGGTGGGTGATGGTTTCGGGGGCAAGTTTGCAACTACAAGCGGCCCCACGAACGGTCAACTCTAAAAAGACGTGCCCGCTTTGTTCCAATTACGTGGATCACTGGTTGCAACTGGGTCAACACGTAGGAAATCACCGGAAGTGGGCATAAGGTCCATTTCTTGAAACCTACCCTTTCGGACCTTTCGTTCCGTTCAGGTGGAGGGCTTGGACCTCTCTGGTGAGAAGGTGAAGTTGGAGAAGAAGGTGACCTCTGCTCAGATGCCTGGCTTCGGTGTAGGTTTGGGGTGGGCTTAGGTGAGGGTTCAGGGTGGATTTATACGCCTCTCTGTGCTTATTGAGGGGGGTCAATGAGTTGAACATCACCCTTATGACATGTGAATGAGTTCTTTGGGATTTATTTTGAAATTACTTTACATCTCCAGACTTAACAACACGTGCACCAGAATCAAGATGTTTTAGTGTTGGGGGCAAAACCTGGGGTAGTGATGGTCGTCTGTGAACGAGTCATACTATATATGAAGACTACGGCTTCCTTTGAGGCCATGCCAGACAGCACCTTTCGGTCGATCTTCCACAACTATGTGACTTCTGCTTGGCGGATTAAACCTTGCCTGGTGGCCAAGAATGGTTAGTGAGGCTTCTTTGGGCGGGGGTGGAGTGGGGGGGGGCATGCTTCTGGAATTCTCAAAGCAACTCAACTCCCTGGTGGCCAAGAATGGTGAAGTTGATGATCTCCCTTTGGGCGGGGGTGGGGGGGGCATGCTCGCATGCTCGCATGACCTCTCACTCGAGCTGTGTGGTGTCCTGCCGCTTTCCCGGTTTCGATTCAAACAGTCTCGCATTGCCAGAATATTTATAGCTGATCTTGTATCATGTTTGGACAACTTCCCCGAATTATTGTTGGGCCTTTGGTTTTTCTTAGGCACCATATGGGTCTGTGTTTTTTTACCGTGTCAGTTCTTTAGTCTGCGTGGGAGGTGGGGCTTGGGCGAGGCATACCCCCGAATCATACCCCGAACCATACCCCCGAGCCATACCCCGAGTCATACCCCTTAAAAAACACAAAAAAAGAACCTGCAAGAACTATGGCATTTGCATGTGATCCATTGATAGCTGGAAGCTATAGGGGGTTTAACTTCAAGTGAAGAAGGGAGTCTTGTCAAGAAACAGTGGTAGAGAGCTTGCCATGTGGACCGATGCCAGGGGGTAGGGACTCCGAGGTAATACCTGGTTCACTTGTGGTTCCTGGATCTATTCCTGAGTCTGCGATGCTTGCATGGTTGGGCGCTGATGTCATGGGGCCAAGTACAGTTGACATGTCCACTCACACACTCACTGGTTACTCGTAGGGGGCCATTTTGGCTTAAGTGGCACTCGGTTACCCACCTTGGTCTCGGCTTGCTATTTTCAAACGAAAGTGCCAATGGATGGAGTTATAGAGCAATCCTGCGGATGTCCTGGTACTAGAGTTGTCTGTAGCATCCGTGGTGCTGTGGTGGGGGGGTGCAGCTTGACGTAAGACGCTGGGACTGTGGCGGGGGGTGCCGCTGCTGAGCTTGAAACTTGGAGCTTGCTTCCTGAAGTCTGTCCGACGCGGTGGAAACAGCTGTCTGTCCTGGGCCACTGTCGCAGTGAAACACAAGTTGTCTTTGTGCTCCTGGGGTACTCTTGGTGTTTTTCCGGTCGAAAAATATGTTCCCCGATTCATACCCCCGATTCATACCCGATTTATACCCCGATTCATACCATTTGCAGCCAAGAGCCTCTTGCGCTCTGGGCAGTACTAGCGAAGCTATGCCGCCCAAATCCTCAGAAGACACAAAACTCAAAGAGATGCCGTTTGAGGATGTCACGCTGTCTTGCCCTTACGCTGGTTCGTGGCCCTTAAGCAATGCTTGCTTGGGTCTGTGAGCGCGCGGGTCGCTTGAACTCCAAGTGGAGGTGGCCATGACGTTCGCCTCAGGCAGTGGCTCTGCTAGCGCAGCAGCTTCGCTAACCCACTCACGCAGAGTGGCAGCTGTCTAGTTCAGGCTACTCACAAGCGCCCCAGGCTGGCTTGTAGCAACTAAGCGGTCGAAATCTCACGGCTATCCAGTTGCCAGCGCACGGGAGCTTTGCGGTGTCCAAAGCCACAAAGCAAGAGTTCAGAGGCGTGCGAGCCATACCCCGAATCATACCCCCGAGCCATACCCCGAACCATACCTGCGATTCATACCCCTTATACCAACCTCCCGGCACGGCCACGTCAAAAAAACACATACCCATATGTTGTCCCTTGTGCCAGGGATATCGTTTCGGCTTGTTGCGTTTGGAATGTGGCTCTTTCTTAGAGCTTTGAACTTCTTTAGAGCATGGCTTTCGCTGGCAAGCAGTGAGAACCCAGCAGGGCGTCCTTGGATCAGCGCCCAGTCATTTCCAGTTTTGGTTGTCCTTGATTTAAGCTCCTCCATGTCATTTCTCTTCCGTCTCCTTGTTGCTTCTCGTTCAATTTTGTTTAAGTTGCTTGTTTCTCCCTCCTTGTTTGCGTTCTTCCAGATTTGTGTGTTTGGGGTTTACCAGGCGGTCCCCAGGGGCAAGCTTTTTGCTGGCCATCAGGAAGACGGTGGACTCGTACCGGCAGAAGATGTCGGTGGAGGGCTATGAGCAGAAGGTGCCCGCGAACGTGCGGGAGCAGAACTTGCAGAAGATGCAAGCGGCCCAGAAGGAGCTGGAGGAGCTGCAAAGGGCTCTCCAAGGATCGATCGGATCGGATCGGACCGGACCGGATCGGGAAGACACGACGCGGAAGGTACGAAGACTTCCCGACTTCTTAAGGACTAAAGTCTCACTTGTTGGGTTTGGACCATGTGGGTGAACAAGAAGTTTGGTTACTTTTTTGGGGGCAATCTACTCAGGTGGTGAGGTTACCAGGGTGGGAAAGAAGCTCACCTAAGCCCGAAGTCGACATTTAACCTTACACGGTTTCCCTTGGTTGGTCCATATTCAGGGGTTGGCCTTATATTTGCAGGTCCTTTGGGCAAGTAAGTAAGGGGTGGTGTTTGGTCGCCACTTTAGGGGGTAAGGAAGGGAATCCTCTTAGCCACAAGTCGCAGGAATGGGAATCCCACTTTATCCCTTTAAGTGTTATTCTCTCTGCCTGAGTTTTTGGACTTCATAGTTTTTGGGAGGACCATTTTGGTGGTACACCGAAAATGTTGGTGTTTTTGCCAAGCCACTTGGGAAATGAGTGGTGTCCACCGCCACAAATCCCTACCCGCAAAGGAATGTACCTGCTGCCCCAAAAGCTGTTGAACTTGATCGTGTTTGAGGAAAATGATTGTTTTGCCTTCTTGGTGTTGACATTTCAACACTGGTGCTACAAAAACCGTTCGGGCTTGCGGAGCAGACCAAACCTTATGTTGCTGATGTCGCTTGCTGGGAATCCATCGATTGCGTTATTTTTCATAGTCCGGTGAATGTTTACGTTCTTTTTGCGTCATGACATGGGCCATGCCTAGGATTCGGTGTTGGAAATACCGTTCGTAAAGCGTTCAAAACCCGTTCAAAACCGTGCGCAAACCGTTCGCGAACCGTTTGCATGTCGTACATTTTACGTACTAAAATGTGTGTTGCGAAATCACCTTGGTGTTCTAAAAGCTGTTCTGGTGCTAAAAAATCCGATCTGGTGCTCAAATTTTCGGAACAACATCATTTTTCAAACTCGTGCTGAGAAAAGAACATGTTAGGGGCCTCAGGTAGGGGTCGGCCCCCAACTTCGGCCCCAACTTCGGGTCTGGGGCAAGGGAGTGGTTTGCCGAGCTTGCCAAGTGTTTTACTTTGTCGGTGTTTCATCCCTGCGTAATCCATAGCGTAACCTCTTTTTTTGTTGCTCCTCGCGCGTGCGCGTAGAACAAGTGCCTATATGGTGCTCCGCAGGCCCGTTCGGAGCCTTATGGTACGCGTCGCGCTGGAAGACACTGACAAATATGGTGCCCCACTGCGGATTACGGATTCGGAATGGGGATGTCACCATACTTCCTGAGCTCCTGGACTTCATACTTGTTGGAACCACATTGGTTAACAACAAGGCTTATAAGATCCTTGGTCAACCCACTCAAGTGAGGATCCTCGCGCCAGGTTTGCAGCAAGTGATGGGCAAGTGATTGTGAGAGACTTCCATGGGCAAACTCCGCAGCTCCCGCAGCGCCGACTCAGCCCATTCGAAGGTTAGGGGTTCCGTCGCCCCGCGTTTGTACAGAGATGCGCGCCGCGAAGCGCGGAAAAGAGGTGGAGAGGGAGGAGCGGGGGTCCTCAAAACCGACGAGGTTTGGGTGGAAGCATGTTGCCTTTTGGGTCAAGCTTGACGGAGCTGTTATTTGGGTGGGTGATGTTTAAAGAGTATTAGAAGGGATCTTGAATGCACATCGAAGTTAGGGAGGGAGAGCAAGAGGTTGCGCAAAGTGGCAGTATTGAGGTAGCCCATGCTCTGAGCCCTTATTGCAGATTCTCCCGCTTTACCTGGGTCCATGGGGGTGACACTTTGATATGCCCTGGACTGTTGCTAAAGATTACACTTCCCCCCAAAAGTAAGTTGATAGTCCTGAAAGTATACCAGACACACTCCATTCGAGAGGTGCTTGCTCGACAGTCTCCATGGCTTCCTGGACCCGAACTATTCCTGCCAGTGAGTCATGGACTTCCCCCCAAAAAAGGGATTGGAAGACATCAGGTACCCAGGCACCGGAAGGCTTGAGCTCCGACGGGCTCTCCAGAACTCCCTCCAGAACTCGGGCCCACAAAGCAAACATATCCGGATCGCAGGGCGCCTCTTCTATGCTCCCTAACATGGAAGCTCCCGGACTCGGTGTCAGCCTCTTGCTTCTCGGTGTCTGATGGAGCCAAGTCTCCCAGGGTCCTGGGAATCGCCGGGAGGGAGAGAAGGATTCCCCTTGGGCTCGTTCAGGGCCCGTCCCGCTGAAATGGATGCGGGGCTTAGAAGGGGACCCTTTTTGGGGATGGGAATGCCACTTGAGCGGCGCCTCGAGCAGCCCCCCATCGGCCAGTTGAGTAGGTGGTTCTACCACGTTCTACAGGGATTTGACAAAGTCGTGCCTCCGGTTGAGGCGTTGCTGAAATTCCATGGGGAAGAGGGTTTCGAAGAAGTCGTGCCTTTTTTCGAAACGCATAGGAACTCAACATGTTTGAAGAGATAGGCTTCTGGGAGGCATTGCAGTTGAAAATTGTACCAGGGACTCTAGTCGTCCCTATATAAACCTTACAAGCCATTAGAACCAAACGCCCATGGAAGTTAGTGGCTCACTTTGGCATCACAGAAAGGCCCTATTTCCTTCAACGGGGCCCAGGTTGCGGTGCCAGCTCGAAGTACGAAGCATCCAGCACCGCCTGCGCCACGGAATGGGACAGGGGGACAGGGGGGAGGTGGGTAGGTTGTAATCCAGATTCACCTGGCTGTGGGTCAGAACCAATGGGATCCCATTTTGGTTGGTAGGTGCACCCATTTTAGAACCTATTTTAGTGGGTATTGGGATGTTCACTGGGGGTACGATATGGATTCTGACCCATGGCCACATGGGCGGCTCGTCTTTTTTGGAGTTGGAATCCATTTTTTGTCGTTTCATATGGAAGCCACAAGGAGAACAAGCCTTTGTTGGGTCCAACCTTAAAAACAAGACCCGGCCACAAACGAGTGCGTCGGCGAGAAGCATGCTTCAATTCAACCCACTTCCCCTAGCCGGCGACTCTAAATCAACTTGTTGGGCAGAACATGTCAGCGGTAAGCATGTTCTTCCGAGTTTTTCTGACTCATCTACTCAGGCAGTGAAATTCTCAGCCTCGGCTGCTCAAAGCCCAGAAACCCACCACCCCCTCCAGCCCCCAACCACCTCCCACCCGGCGCAGGTTGTGCCTCCATCCCATTGACCACCTTTATTTGTTTTTGCAAGCACAAGCAAAGTAGGACGAAGTGAAGTCTATGCTCATACGACCATGGTAATTATGTGTGTAACTATTTCGAGCGATGCAGTACACGTCTCTAACATTTTGCTTTGGTTTTCCTTTGGTTTCTCCGTATTTTCATCGAGCAAGACATCCATTTTTGTGTCAAAATAGGGTTCCCCAATATGGGGCGCTGTGCTTGGGTTTCCGTTGAACACAACTCAACACGGGTGCCCTGCAAAAATTGGTTGAGTTAGTTTAATTGTGTTCTAAAATGGTACCATTTGTGTTCTCTTGACTAGACAAAACTAGGTGTTCTCTTTCAACAGTTTGCTACTCTACTGGTACCCTGCAACTAAAAGGACACACACACACACACACCTTTTCAGATGTTGCTTGAGCACCTTACCTGGTCCATTTGGCCTCGCCTGATGTGCGGCCATGGGGCGCGTGACGCGGACGCTGCGCCTGCTTCTTGCAGCGGCGGGATTGGCGCACCTGGCGCGCCCGGGAAGCATTGGTGGGAGTTGGGTCAAAGGACTCTTCTTCCATTTGCTTGCGAACATGCTCTGTTGCCCAGTGGGTTGCTTCCTTTTCTCCACTTGGCTGTGGGTCAAAACCAATGGTACAATTTTGGGGTAGGTGAATGCACCGCCCATTTTAGAACCTATTTTAGTGGTTGGATTGAATCGGATGTTCACTGGGGGCTAACCGGGATTTTGACCCATGGCCACTTCTTTTGGGTAAGGGTTCCGATTCCTTTAAACTCAACCAACAAAAATATGGTGCCCTGGTTTCCCGATGGCCTCGGGGCATCTGAGCATGTGTCTTTTCTCCCGCTTGGTTTGAAAAGGAATCTCACTACTGATTTGTATGGGACTTGATACTGAAGCAAATGGAGGCTTTTCAGAAGGGACATAGCCAAAAGACATAAGACACTGGATTTGGTCTTGGAAAGCTGGTTTGTGCTTTGTCCCACAAGGACAAATTGGTTTGGGCGCTAAAAAACACACACTTTTAGCGCTTCCAAAAGCAAATCCGGAGAGATGATAATACAGTTTGCAGACTCCCTATGAAGCATCTAGTTGGATGGGAGTTGACTCCGGAGTTGAGAGGCAAATCACATTATTGAGCCAAGGGAGTTTGTATGGGGTCCTTATGCGTTCCCTTGGACCAGGTCTCTACCGTTTTGGATTCTTGGGGGGCAACCCTGACTTTTTGTGACTGAGTTACTGGATGGTGTTGACACCACAAACCCTAAACCCTAAACCCTGAACCCAAAACAACGATGTTACCCCTGGACCTATTTTCTCATTTCGCCAGGGGGCAAACAAATTCGCCCTGGCGCAACATCCCAACGTCCCCAGCGGCGCGATTTTGGCTCAGTTTCAGTCCGCCGGGCCGTGTCCGACCAGCTGGAGGCGACTCGGCCCGATTGATCCCCCTGAGTCAGAAGCACAAGAGTTGACCTGGACCCTCAAAGTACCCTCAAAGAAGGGGACGTTTTTTTTTTGATTAGGGGGGGGGGGCAAGAATGGAGGAAAAACAAGAGGAAGCGGAAGCACCGTAGTTTTCCTTTGGGGGGGGAACAATGGAGGTAGACAAGAGGGGGAAGAACAATGGAGATAGACAAGAGGGCTGGTAGTCTTCAACCAGAATGTGTCCACTTCCATGATCGGAAAAAAACTTGCCCCGAACAGAAAACGTCACAAAGCGGCTTGAATTTTCAGGCGGTTTCAGGTAGAAACGAACTGCCCTTCATGTGCTGAAGGGAGTGGGCCGGAAAACAAAACCAACACCATAACAAACATATGATTAGACTAGGTCCCCCAGTCATGGTTGTTGTTGGGAAACAGTTTGCCCATTTTTGCTTACTGTGGTTTAGTGGTTGAAATCCAACCACTTAACTGCTAAAAAATATTTGTTTGCTCCCCTTCAACGTCAACCAAGCAGTAGTGCCCCTTTACCATTTCCTTTTTGGGGGAGGGTTTAGCTACTCAAATAGACTACAGAAAAAACAGGGTACCCCTATTCCAACCTCTCCGCTGGAGGACCTAATAGAGGCATCTTTTCTTGCCTTTTGGAGTTCCATCTTGGCGTTGGGAGGGAGTGAGCGCTGCAGAGCCTTTGACCTTCTTGACCTTCAGGTATGTGTCGTGCTACTGGTTCGGCAACAACAAGGAGCATTCCCGACCCCTTGCCCCCAACTTTTGGACGCCCTCCCGGCCAACCAAAGCCAATTGGCAAAGGGCAACGTTGAATTGGGGGGCGGAGGGGCGCAAGGGGGTATGCAGGGAATAAAGTTGAACGAATGCCATATGTGTTTTTTCTCCGGCAGAACCCGGTATGACATATCAATTGTGCCTTGTCCCTACAGGAGGGATAGCAGTTGCTCACAAGTTTGTCGACTCACCACTGCAGCGTCAATCGCCGTTAAGGGAATGGGAAAACCCGCAAAGACAACGCAACCTCAAGGAGGCATAGTAAGGAAGCCCAAATTATTAGAAAGGAAGCCTTAAGCACAACACCTTTTTTCCCTCACAGTTGTTGCGCGCGCTTTCCCGTGGCAGGCCGTCGGGGAAAACGGCTAAAGCAAGAGCCGCAGAGCTGGTCGGAGGTGTTGACGCAGATGGCACCGGAGGATTGCGCCACTCCTTTACTTGGTGGCTCCCGGCCATCCGGTTCGAATGTGTTTTAGCATTTTAATTGGTTTAGCGGTTGGGTTTCCATCTAACCCACACAGCCCACTATGGGCGTGGCTCAGTTTTGCAGGCGAAGGGTATGCTTTGGCATGGAAGTCGTACTTTTGGCGTCACAGAAAGGAACCCTTGTTCAACAGACCAGGGTTTAGAATTTTGGCGCAGGCTTTCTCGGGAGATGTCGGGAGGATTAAGTTTCTATCAGCGTTTGTGGGTCTGGGCTTCGGGCGCTTCGGGCTTCATGGGTGTTATTGTTGTTGCTTTGTGAAATCTGGTTGATTACTAGGCGGTCCCCTTGAAGGGGCAAACCTTCAACGCTCCCCTCTACTCTTAATGCGTGAGGTGATGAATCCGGGGAGCAGTTCAATCGAAGCGCCTTTTGCTCCGTCCGTTGGGGACACGAAGCCTGTGAAGCGCCAGGAAGTGTAGAATTTGTCAGGTCCATCGCTTGCCATGTGAAGAAGGCTCAAGATTACAAGCTTCCAACAAGTCAAAGCCTGTCTTCTGTTGTGTTTGTGGGGGGAACACAATGCAGTTCAAGGCCAAAGAACCCAAGTTTTCCAAAACATTTGTGTTTTGTTGGTTTTCTTCGGGGAGGGAAATTCGCACTACGTGTTGGTTGTCGTAGGTCGCTCAGAACCCTCCAGGAGAGCGAGCGGGGCCGCTCGCTGCCGGTGGCGGTGGCGGTGCGCAGCTGGCTGCGGCGCATCGTCATCGGCGATGGCCGGGGTCGATGGTCGGGGCGGGGGGCGCATCGGCGATGGCGGGGCGATGGCGGCGGGGGGGGGGGGGGTTGGGGGGAGTTGGGGGGGGGGGTTGGGAGGTCACAGAACTTCGGAACTTCGTTGAACTTCCGACTTTCCATTTGATTGCGAATATGCCCACCAAGGGTTCGCCCAGTTCAGTGTTGCTCCGAGCATCTGGCAGATCCCTTGGAAAAGTGGTTCGGCTTCCTGTACTTTCCTCCATTTGCTTAAGAAATATGAGTTTGTTATGTCCCCCCTGAATCTATCCCCACTGGAAAGATGTGGCTTGTTTCCCTCGACAACTGGAGCAAATGGAAGAGAGACAGGAGGAAGACACGCCTTGAACGCCGTGGGCCGTGGGCCTGGATCCTTTCACCCCGAGCTTCTGGTGGAGAACGACCACTTTCGCTTTCCCACGAGGCGGAACGAGAATCGGAGACATGGGATAGAACACGTCCATGCATGGGCCTCCCGGAAGGTGTCCTAATCTCCAATGGTCCACGGATGTCCTTCTGCCGCGCAGGTCAACGGAAACCACGTGGTTCAAGCTCCGGTCTTCCAGCATGTTGATGTTGACGGAGTAACCTAATATGAGGGGCTAAACAATTTCTAGGTTACTTCTAACGATGATCCCAAGACCCATTCTACTTATTCAGCCCCTTGCATCACATTGAATGCTCCCACGATGATCCCCAAGACCAGTGCTACCTATTATGTCCTTGCATCCCATTGAATGCTATTGCCTAGGATCTTCACGCTTTAGCGGTTTGATACATTTGATGTTCAGCTATTAACATGCTAAGATACTGATTCAGCTGGCAGCCAATTCCCACAACTATTTATCCAAAGAGAAACAACAAGGGCATGACTATTTCTGCATGGTATTTGATTGTTCAGACCCTCTAAACAGCATACATCATGGCAGCCAGCATGAAATTATGCAGGAAATCTGTCGACCCTGTGGACCCTTCACCATTTTCCATTGGCTGTTCTAAAGGGTGGTTCCCTACTTGGATGTTCGGCCAGATTGGTAGGTGGTTGGCCACTTGATTTAGAACCTACTAGTCACAGGGTCAACTCCACTTGGGATGACTTACAAGTGGGTCAGTACCAACTTGCTAGCCTGGCGATTCGAACACCCAAGTAGGTTAAAGTTGACCCGGATGAATAACCTTCTATTTATGAATAAGAGGCGTCCCAAGAAGAGTGGGGAATCAGACCACCTTTTTGAGGGGTACACCCCCCGCTTAAATGATTAGTAGGATGGGTTTGTTAATCTGGGGTCAACATTACCCACTCGACAGGGACGCGGAATCGCTGGGAAGGGTGCCTTGGTTCCCTGATGATCGGGTCGGTCGCCGGCACAGGCCTTTGCCCCTGGGCAGAGGACGCCGTGGACTCGGGCGCGCTGGCGGTAGTGTGCCTGGTAGAGAGCGACGAGCAGGCAGGGCTGAGGGCGATTTGGGGTGTCCCGAATCACAGGTCACCCCCTAGATAGATTTCCTCGGTGAAACACCCCTTTGCAGCACGGCCCTTTTGATTAGTCCGAAGTTGGCAGGGAAACCAATGACAATGGGAGTGGACCCTTCCTGCAAACTTGTCTGGTCTTTTTCTTTCCAGTCTGGAAGTGGACATTTGGCGGCCTTGTCAAGAGGACCAGAGTCTTCCAAACCTTCCGGTCAGCTTCCGTGGCAAAAGTTCCCTTGCGCCCGTTCTTCCGGTTCCGGAACTGTAGATTTTACAAAATGGGTGCCGTTGTTTTGCCGGCGGTCCTTTTCAGATTACTTGTTTTTGGGGTAGACTGCCTAAACATGCAGGTGTCCTTTCCGGGCACTGTGGACAAGTGCGTGAACAAACAACTTTCAGCATTTGGCGGTTTGGAACCAGGCGTCCGCTTCCACTTGTTTTTAGTTGGTTTGGTGTTGTTTTCATTTAACCTTTCTGAGCAGAGGGTTTGAGGACAGCCCAGAAGAAACACAGAGCACCAACTCCAAAAACATACACACCCTGATTTCCCCTTTCAGTGGTTTTGATCATCAGCTGTTGGTTCCCTATTTTAACCTTGGTTTCCTTTGGAACCCTGTCCTCCCCCAGAGGTCTTTGTCGGCTGTAGGATATTCGTTGACATTTATCGAGACGTTTTGGTGTTGTGGGGACTTCAACATGATGTTGTGCTTTGGCCTCTTCAAACCGTAGCTTTCACAAATCGTGGTTGTCTCCCAAAAGTAGTTTGAAAGGTTCAGGGCCCCTTCCTGGGTTATTTGTTGGCATTATGTTGGGAGGGGCGCTGTCAAAAGTAGTCTTCATCAAGTAGCCTTAAACAACTAGTATTGAACAAGTCTTGTTCAGACATGTTTTGGGTGTTGGCACCAACAACTTCATATCGTCCAACCATAGTTGGTGATGTTGTTTTTTTGCTGACTCGCCCGGGTGGTTGTAAATTGTATAGCAACTTACCTGTACTGTTTGAACCGTATCCACAATCAAGAATCTCATTTCCTGGGGCCTTAGCCAAATGGAAGTCCAGTTGATTTAGTCGAGGATGTAATCCCAGGGTGTAATACAAAATCCCTCATGAAAGTTGCCCTAAACGTGAAGACTCATGTGGCCGTTTGGTCAAACAATGCACCCACCGTTTTTTTTGGCGCAGGGGGTTTTTGAGGGTCAACCAGCGAGGCCGTGGCGGCTCGGCTGCTGCAGCACGGAGACCTCCTGGCGCGCGCGAAGCCGCCGGGCGGGCGCCAGGCCACGACGCTGTGTTTGGCGCCCAGGTGCCACGAGCTGCGGCGGACGCGGCACTTCCACAAGGCGCGGGCCGAGGGCCGAGGGTCTCGCGTCTTGTTTTTGTGGAGGGCGGGGAGTTACCCGAAAGAATAAAGCAAGAACAACAAACGGGAGGTACTAGTTTTTTGTGTTTTTGTGGGGGAGTGGTGAGTGGGTGGGGGGGTTTCCAAAAAAGATCAAAGCAAGAACAAGAAACGGGTACATGTGTTCTTTCCTTTTTCTGTTGTTGAGTTTGGGCTTTGTTTGTTTTTTTTTTTGGGTGGGGGTGGTGGGGGTGGGGTACCCCAAAAAGGCAACAACACAAAAGCAAAGGTGCCCCCATGGCCACTGGGGTTTGGGTCGACAATGTTCCATTTTTTTTGGGGTAGATCTGGGTGCCAAAATCTGGGGTCTCCTCCAAATGTGTATGATAGACTACGCGTGAGATGTTAAACCCAAAGGGGAAAGATTTGCCTAGGCTCAAAAAGTGCAATGGCTAGTTTGTTATTGATTTAATGAATCAGGGGAGGAACAAACAGAAGATGCTGAGCAAGACCCCCATCAAAGAAGGATCTTAGAGACGTTCCTACTAGATAGGGAACTGCGAAGAGGGAACAAAGGACATGGATTCTGATACATGGGTCTTTATAATATATATATATATAGGTTTTTCTCGAAACAGGGGATCCTAAACTGGGCGATTTCCTTTTGGCTCCCCTTCAAACACCAACCGCAAGGCGTCCATTTTGAGACGCGCCCCATAGGATCAAACATTGGCGGGGCCCTGGATTGGAAGAATCATTTGCGGCTTGGTGTTTTCTTGTCAGGGTGTCTCTATGTGCGTCACCTGTAGGGTGTCTCTATGTCAGGGTGTCTCTTGTCGGGGTTTTCCCTGTAGTTTAAGCATCACCTTTTTGTCCCTTTCAAAGTGAGCTTCCTTGGCGATGCTCAAAGAGGAGTTATTGGGACCACTTCTTCAGGGGGTTCTGTGGACTGGAGCACTGTGGGAAATATGCGTCTGTCCTTTTTTTGCGTACCCGTTTTTTGGGGGCCTTGATGGAAAACCAACAAGACACCACAATTTCGGAGTGGGCCCCCATATCATGACTTCACGATTGTAGACTCAGTTGCCCAAGTGAATCGACCGGATCGAGATGCTTGGTCTACCTGTCGTCATCCCTGCAAGTCAACAGAAGGAACCCAACCCGGGGTTCCTTTCCCCGAGGGTGCATATTGGGGAACATGAGGGTTGCCTTCTGACCCCCAGGAAATGACGTTCCCCCCACAGTCCAGGCTCAACGCACTGGCAGAACCATAATCATAATCCTTGGCTTTGGGCATGAAGCGCCACTTTCCGCCCGAGGTGTGTGACTTTCTGGACCTGCACTTGGATGAGACCAAGGCGCGCAGCGGCCTCGATCCGGAGTTTGCGGCTGGCTGGTGGGCGCAGAATGCCCATGGAAATCTTTGGATGACGCGACTGAACTGCGTTGATCTTAAGCCAGGGGCTGATGAAAGAACGCGATGCTCTACGGAACGCCTACTGCAATTACAACATTAAGTGTCGGGGCTTTGTTTGTCAACACAAAATGGGAGCGGCCGAGGCGTTTCGGGGCATCTATGATTTGCCCAATGGACCTTCCTTCAAGACCTTTGGGTTGAAGGACCACTTTCCATGAGATGACGGGCCGGGGGTTTGCGCTTTCAGGTTGATGCAGTAGGGCGCTGCCCCCTTTTGGGTATCACTATAGGCAAAGCCACTTTGCTGTGAGCACATCTCGAGTTGCTCCAGGGCTGCTGTGGCTTGGATGTCCATTTAGAATGGTGTGGTTGCATATTTCTATTCGCCGGTATGGGTGGCGCACTTTCAAACAAACCGCTTACTTTGCCCTTTAGCAAAGAAAAACACGGCTGTTGGCTTTGAGCTGCAGGTGGTTTTTACGGCTCATGCAGCTTGCCCCAAGTCCTCCATGCTGAGAGGGTGTTGGTCCCGCTGGGCACGCGGGGGGCTCCATGTGCTGCCTGCTTCCTTTGGATCATGGTCACAGTGCCAGAGCAGGTTCCGGTCAGACCTGTTCGCTGGAGCCGTGCAAGTGAGTTCCCTTGGTCGGGTCAAGAGTTTGAAGGGAGTAATTACTCACGGGAGCCTGAGCTCCTATGGCTACAGAAGATCGAACATCCAGGGAAAGCAATACTTTGTTCACCGCCTGGTGGCGAGGGCTTTTCACGGACCACCTCCCTCTGCAGAGCACACGCAAGTAAACCACTTGGACGGCGACCGGGCAAACAATTGGGTCAACAACTTGCAGTACGCCACGCCGTCAGAGAATTCCGCTCACGCGCATGCAACATTTACATGGAAAACGAGTGGGCAAGCAGTTTATTGCCGGCCAGTAGGGTCGCTGAATTGGACAAGCTTTCCATCTCAGAGCAAAGCAGCCCGTGCGCTTCAAGTGACCCGCTCTTCTGTAGGCCGGTGTTGCAGTGGAATGCAGCAGCAATCTGGTGGGTACGAGTTCAAGAGTGTTGAGCCCGTGTCACTACCTGGGGAGGTATGGCAAGCAGCTCGGTATCCAGGAATTGCACACGCCATTTCACAGTGGCAGGTGAGCAACCTGGGCCGAGTCAAGACTGACATTGGGAGAATTACACGTGGGTCTTTGATGAAGTCGGGGTACTTCATTATGCGACACTATTCGAAGTCAACTGGGCTCTACCAAGGTTTTCTGGTGCACCGGCTAGTCGCTGCCACTTTTTTTGGGCAGCCAAGCATGCCAGACCTGCAAGGTAACCACCTGGACAGCGATCCATCAAACAATGACCGGGATAATCTGGAGTACGTAACACCTTTGCAGAACAGGCAGCATGCAATCATGAGCTTGGCTGGTCGCAGCAGCACAAGACCGAACCTCCGGAAGCCCGTGCTTGCACGTGAATTTCTCAAAGAGTCTCCCTGGATCCACTTTGAGTCTGTATCAGCCGCAGCGACGCGTACAGGCATTCAAGGCTACCGGATTTCAAAGATGTGCCGCGGAGACATTTGCCACAAAAGCTGGCAGTTCAAATACGCATCCCTTGCGAAGTTGCCCGGCGAGGAATGGCGTGATGTCATTCTTGACTGGTCATACGCTAATGGGGAGCTAGGCTACTAGGCCTTTCCGGCTGGATTCTGATTACGGCAGTCGACGCCTAGAATGTGAACGATGGGGTGCCGAAGAAGCTCGCGTCGCAACCAAATCACTTGTTTGCATAGGGAGCTGTGCATATGTTCAATTTATTGAATGATTATTCAGAGTGTCTTAGGTGGTGCAAAATGGATTTCGCCCATCCACAGTATTACTGAATGCGATCTATTGAACACCTTGGTCCAGGCATAGACCCTCACCTGCCCACGCAGGAGAGCTAGATCCACACAACAGGGTATCAAAGCTGGTGCAAGCAACAACAAACTATGTCGCATTCGAATACCCTTGCTAGGGGGACGCTTCTCCAACAGGGAAGCGAGGATTTTCGGGCCGCGCCTTGTGAACAATGAGCATGGTTCTGCCAAACTCATATCTTTCACCAGGGGTACATGTTAGATTGCTTCCACAACACTCCACCACTTGGCTACGATGCCTCCCCACGATGGCTGGGCATGTTTGGAGTTTGTGCTTTTGTCTTTAGGTGCTCGGCCCAGTTAATCGGCCTTTAGCAACCTGCGACGTCACAACCTACTTATTATTCGTCTCAAAAACTTTCCCAAGCACTAACTGTTTGCAAGTTTGCAAACTTTGCCGAACAACCACACATTGCTGTTTTGAAGGTCAGAAGTGACGACCGCCTGGGACAAAAAATGCCGATACGGGTTTTCGGCACGCGGTAGGTGCAGCTGGCGCCCTTCCACCCCAAGTGGCGGTTCCTGGATCGCCGCCTCCCGGGCGAAGGCGACGCTTGGGTGGGCGGGGGAGTGCGACCAAATGGATCCCCGGCATGGGTCATGCTTCTTTCCGGAAGGGAAGCTGAAGGAAGCCATTGACCAACTGAAGCTAGCCTTGTGGTTTTGGTCAGGAGCAACCATTCGCTTTGGGGAACTCCCCACCGAGCCCCTTAAAAGTGGTTGATTGGGGCAGGCAGGGATTTCGACTTCGAAGTCTGGAGATGGAACACAAATACTTTGGTGTCCCATTCTGTCCAAAGGGGATCAACCTGCAAGGATCTTTTGGGTGTTCCCATGGTCCTTTTTCGGCACGGCTCCCAAAGGTTATATATCCTTTTGTAGGTCCTTTAGGCAGCTGAGACTACGGACTACGGAAAATCGCACTGGGGATCCCCCGTTCCGAAGAATCCAATTGGGACTTTAAAACGAACCCAAGTTCCGATCAGATGATAATGTTCAGATTTAGCCCTCAGTGCTTTACACACCGTGGATCTCCTCCAAGACTGTTTGCTTTTGTCATGTTAGGGCAGAATCTGATCATATGATTTTCTGTGTACAGATGTGGGTAAGATAAGAGGCTCGGACAACATATCAAGAGTCAATGCTGCTTTTGGGAATCAAGTTATAACGAGTCCACTGGTGGGGCGGGCGGCGGTCTGGAGAAGGGGTTGATGTTTCCAAGCACCCGCTACGGACCACGCGCTTGCCTTTTTTGATTTGGAGCAGGAAGCCGGAGGCGGACGTAGCTTGCGCGGTTGTTTTGAGTGTTTTTGTTCTCCTTGTGAAGCTTCTAGCAAATCATTGTTTCCCCACAAAGTAGAAACAACTCATTCTTGTTGGCACCGACAACGAGACTGAAAGAGAAGGTTAAGCCCTCAAACAAGCAAAAAAGGGCTGAACTTCGACTGAACTTTCGGCTTATCAAGGTGCTCATCCCCTTAGCCAGGATTATGCTGACGGGGTTTCTTGCAGTCCCCCCCACCCCACTCCTTCGTCTTACAATCCCAGAACCTCCAAGCGTCTTAGCCTAGCTGATTTGGAACTTTGTGCTTGACACCTTCGCTTGAAACAAGTCCAAAACCCGGAATCGTGGGGTTTGTATTTGTTTGAGGTAATTGCCATTTGTGCGGGGTGGTCTTAAAGGGACACCAGAAGGACAACCACACATTTTGTGGGCACCCGATTTTGATGCACACACACACATGGCTGTGGGTCATGAATGGTACCATTATGGGTAGGTGAATTTACCACCCATTTTAGAACCTATTTTAGTGGCTGGATTGAATCGGATGTTCGCTGGGGGCTAACCGGAATTTTGGCTTTTGACCCATGGGCATATGGGTACTGATTGGGTTAGGCTTAAGCTCCTCCCGAGCTCAGGCGAGCGACCGCCGGAGGGCTCCGATGCCGCGGACTTCGTGAACCGCGCCCCCGTGCCGGCCTTCCATTTCCTACGTGCCGTGGCTGGGGGCGGTGGAAATATGTGGGGCTGTGTTCTTTGTGTGGGTACCCTTGTTGGAGGGATTATGTACAGGGAAAGCAACAACCAATTTTTCGGGGGGCCCCCTAGTATTGAAACTCCTATTTTGGGCATGAGCTTAAGGGAAACGAAAACAACCCATGTTTGGGGTCCCCAATTTTAACGCATGCTACTCTCTTCTTTTGATTGATCTTGGTACTCTCTTCTTTTGGTACTCTCTTTTGGTACACTTCTGCTGCAAGTCAACCAAAAGAAGAGAGTACTCTCGCGCAAGTTGTCATGGAACCCAACCATCCATTTCGACGCTCCGCTTGGGGGGATCACACGCAAATCTCAAGCCTTATGATCTCCCATGTTGAATAATCCAGTGTGGGACTTGGACTTGTGATCACAGAGAATCATGCTCATGTTCGCCTCTCACATGATTAAGTGTTTTTTTGTTTCCACAAACCTGGGGTTCGTTCTAAACTATTTTACATTTTAGACGAGATGTGGAGCTGAATATGAACCTACTGTGGATGGTTGCGAAGTCCATTCCGCACCACTTTGAAGCCATGGACAACCGTAACGCTGTTGGTATTTACAGGAGAATCATCAGAAATCCAAGGTTTCTGAACAGTGGTGCAAGATGGTTTCGTACATCCACACTAGGATTTGTGTTTCACAGACAAAGACTCCAAATTTGAATGGGGGATGGGGATCTGGGCAACTTGCAACTTGCTTGCCTGGGGCGGGGTATTATCCCCAAACGGCCAAGCCGTTGCTTCGACTGGCAACCTGCGTCCATCGAGGTGTGTCAGACGTGGAGGGGGCCGCTGCCAGCCACTCCCCCGGCGACTGGGAGGCGAGGCGTTGGATGGATAGTGTTGGGCAACGGGGGGAGAATACTTCCATTTGCTGAGATTCTCAATACGTATGGGTTATTTTCCCTTGTGGGTTTAAAGAAAATTAATCGCTGCTGGAAAGAGTCACCATGGTCAAATGGTCAAAGTCACCCCCTAAGTGGTGGGTTAAAAGGAAACAACCCCATTTTCTGACTTTGATAAACCCCAGAAATCGTCAAAAGAACGACCCCAGGCTTTGGGTCGATAGTTGTGGGCGACGGGGGGAGAGTACTTCCATTTGCCGAAATGAATACGTATGATACGTATGTGTTATTTTCCCTTGTTGGTTTTAAAGGGAATGTATCACCATGGAAATCATATGTGTTAGTTTCTCTTGCTGGTTTTAAAGGGAATTTATCACCATGGAATTTTCCCCTGTTAGTTTTGGGCAACCGGGGGAGAATCCTGCCTTTTGGTGAAATGCATAATATGGCCATGGGTCAAAATCCAAATCGTAACCCTACATGATTAGAACCAACCTGCAACCAGTGCTATCTATGTGCAACCAAACTAGCCAAACAAAATGCTCACCCATGAAAATGGCATTCTTTCAATTGCTCAGCCCCCTTGAACACATGAACATCTTTCCAGCAGCGATAAATCATCACATGGCTGTGGGTCAAAACCTATGGTACCATCTTGGGGTAGGTGTACCACCCATTTTAGAACCTATTTTCGTGGGGATTGGGATGTTCACTGGCCTGAGTTCATGGCCTTTAATCTTTATGGGAAGACCATTTGGGTGGTAAAGAACGCGTTCAACATTTGATTGCAACAATCCCTTCAGGAAGTGAGTTTCACTTGGTTGGTTTTCAGGTTGGGTCCCCCTATTTTGCCACCGTCTAGTTGGTGGTATTGATTTGGAATTGAACCGGCTTTTGTAGAGGGTAGATGGGACACCCTTCCTTAACCACCAAACCACCAATAGGAGGGAAACTGATAATCTATATGCTCTAATGATATCAAGTTGGAGGTGAGGACTTGGCAACGAATCTGAGAGGGTGGAAGAGAAGTCGACAAGAATCGGTTTTCGCAGTTTGGGTTTTGCTTGTTTGTCTTTGTGTGGAGGTTGACAAAGCCAAGCATTCGCCTTTGTCGCAGAACGCTATCATGTGGCAAGCGGCACTGATGAAAGGCATTAATTGTTTGGGTGCCACATGGGTATGATATTCAAACATGGAGCGCCCAACAACTTGGCGATGTTGGCTGGTTTCCCTTGAAAGCAATCCGCTAGTATGGGTATACCCTCAAACGAGCCACAATCAAAACCCGGGTAGCCAACAACTTACGTCCATGTGCTTAAGAATATGGTGCATTGTCCATTGTTGGTGTTAAAGAGAATCTATGACTATACTGAACGTACGTTTTGTATCTTTTTCGAGGGAACTTCACCAAATGGATCATACCTTTGTTTTGTTTTTCCCATACTAGGTCCCCCAGTAGTGCCCGTTTACCTTTTTGGGGGGAGGGTTCCCCTGCTGAAATAGACAAAACCGAAAAAAACAAGGGGTACCAACTTATTCTAATCCCTACTACTGGAGGACCATTTGCATTGGACCCAAGCAAATGGAGGCCCACGGTGACTGCGAAAATGGCGGGGGTGGCGGATCCGCCCCCGAAGGCTGCCTCGGCCAGCGTGGCGCTGCGCAACGCCCAGCTGCTGCGAAAGCGCGGGGCCCAAAGCTGCGCGGAGGCGCGGTCGCGCGATCTTTCGCGTCGTGTTCCGTGTCTGTTTTTCGGCGTGCACCTCGCGCTTTTTTTCCGCGTGTGTTGCGTGTTGTTGTTTGTTTGCTCCTCGTGTTGTTTTTCTCCCCCGTGTGTTTTGCAAGTTTTCGGTTTGAGTGGACAGGTTCCCAGCCTTCCGGTTCAGCGTTGGCTTTCAAGTTTTTGTTGATTTAGTGGTTGGGGTTTCGTTTAGCCCACCAATGTTAAAGTTCTAGCGGGGGTAGACCAAAAACAGTTTCCCTTTCGGGGGAATCAAGCACCGGGTTTAAGTCTGTTTTTTTTGGTTTGGTCAATCCACTCAGGAAGTGAGCAAGAGGGAGTCTTCAGGAAGTGAGCAAAAGGGAGCCAAGAGCACTGGATAACAATGCGCACTTGGATTTTAACCGCCGCAGCATATCACATATGGGTGTGTCGTGTTTGGACATCTCCGGAGCTGGTTTTAAGGAAAACCAAAGTGGACCCAAGGACACCCAGACCTGTGGTATTTGTGTTTGTTTCCTTGGGGCGTTCCTTCAACCGTCGCACACAAAATTCATGCCCATGGCCACGAAACAATGGTTAAACCAATTAAAAAACACGATTTTCCCAGAAGCAAAAGGGTGTCCAACCACACGAAGGGGTTTGGTCACTGCTAGGTTTTCTACGGTTGTGGGAACTCGTTGCATTCTTTGCACTGCCGTGAGACAAGGAAGCTCCACTTCAATTGGGGAGGCCTCCCATTTGTTTCGCAGTGGAAATCCATTTCCCACTTGCGGGGGGCAAGGAAGCCGCCTTTGTTCCGAGGGATCTTCTTTTCCTCCATTTGCTTAAGTTGTTTTTGTTGTTTTATTATTTCCCTTGTTGGGTTTGAAAGGAACTCATCACTACTGGAAGTATTTTTTATTCTCTTCCCTGGGGCCTTGACCAAATGGAAGTTTTCTGAGGATGCACTTCAAGGTTGACAGAAGAACAGAATCTGAACATCTTGTCTTCTGAGTACCCAAGTTTTAGCGGACCCCTTTTGGGTGTTCATTTTGCCGGGCCAGACGCATGACGGATCCGACCCGCCAAACAGTGACAACTGTTCGCTGGGCAACACAAAGCAAGGAGAGCGAAAGCCAGGAAAAGGAAAGAGCCGGAAGGAAAGCCCAAACCGGAGAAGCTGCAAAACTAAGCTTCGCCCAGGGGTACGTTCGAAGGTTAACTTCAGATGATTCTAAATATCCATGCAAAACAGTATCATGGTAGCAAGTAGTGCCCGTTTCAGTGCGGAACTATTTCATGTTCGGGGTGTACGGTCCTGGGGATGAATCCGAACTTGTATAGCATTGCACAGCACTTATATAAACGTTTATGTCTGCCTTACAAGCTTTTTCGGGAGGCATATCCGAAAAGTTTGGGAATGCGCAGCAACCCCAGTGCTCGGGACGCTGCTTTCTGAAAGTTTGCCGCAAACAGAGAGCACTCGACAAACTGGGCGCTCCTTAAGGACATGCGAAATATGCTTTTCAAATTGTCTAATTGAGTAATTTAATCTTTGAAGGGTTTACCGGCGACGATACATTTTTCGTGTCATCTCAGGATGTGAACATGGTAAACTTTAAAATTTAATACCATCCAGCCGCGCATGGATGAAGATTCGGTCATGGCCAAATTGCGCGCCAGATGAGCCGTGATGACACTGACGACACAGTGAAGATGACAATGCTCATAGAACAAAACTGCAAAGTAGCTGCCCACTGTTTGTGGCAGCCTTCACCTGCGGCGAATTCACTTGACCATTCAGCTATGGACAATGACAATTTGTGGTTCGTGAAGCAGCTGAGCGCCACTGACAACTGACCTTCCATCATGGCTAGGTTGCTTCTCTGTGGCAGCGCCCGGGCTTGACCCTGGGAAGCTTGATGTGCCCAGTCAGTCAACGTTGCAAGTCAACCCACTATTAACGAGGTCTACTTCTGGCACTTCAATCGCCATCGGTGGTATGCTAAGCCGAACGGGGCAACAACAACAACAGCGACAGTGACAATGACAGTGACATGATTCCCAATCATCAACTCTGTGGTGCAGACATTCAGCTCCAGCAAATAACTACCAACCATGCTTGATAAATGCTCTTGCCCACACAGACACGCAGAGCAGCCGGACTAGCATTTTCCTTCCAATGCGAAAACCAGCTGGCCTGGCAATTCGGCAGGCACATTGCTTCTTGAAAGCTGCTTGCAAGCTGGTGGGCTAGCTGAGCTCAGGACGGTAAGATCAAGCCACCTGCGAGCACCGTGACAGGGCGCGATGTTCCACCATGATTTCAAACAGTCACAACGGCCAAGATTATACAACGAATGAGCGCAGCACATGCCTGATTTTCCCCCCGCACGTGCCAACTCAAGGGCTGGCACCTGGCAAAACCCAGGTTTCTTCATCACTGTCTGGGAGGACAGTGTCATTGGCAACAACAAGCTTGATGTTGTCAGGCTTTGGGCTGTTCCCAGCCAGGTCTTTATTGACACAGTTGGTGTCACCAACTGTCCGCTCGGCAGCATCAGCACTGTCGCTATGGCCTGCTGACTGGAACTCCGGCTTCAGCAAGAGTTGAAGGCGGTCGCTTCGAAGCTGCTTGAGGTGCAGCTGTTTCACCAGAGGCGTCATTGGTGGCAGTGGTGGGCGACAACAGGACAATGACTGATGGCTAAGCCAGCTGGCCACTGCCGCACAAGTTTGTTTCAATCTAAAACTAAATTCAATGCATCAATGTCAATGTCAATGTCAAGCCGGAAGTGAATCTGGACCAACCTCCAACAGCTTGATAGGGGCCGAAAGGACACCAACACATCGCCTTCGTCACACTGACAATGAAGGAACGGCGCCAGCACTGTGAACAGAACAATGTGTCAGTGCCGCTCTTTACTTCTATCAATCTGCAGCTGGCAAGTAAAGCCAGTTCTGGCCCTTATCAAATGCCATGACTTTTTGAGTTATTCCTCGGGCTGATGACGTTGAACTACGAATCAAAAAAAAGACAGATTTGAGACTGCTACAGCTTTCAGGGATTCATCACGAGGGCCTGCGCTGCCTGCTAGACAAGTTGGCAGCCAGCAAACGGCTGTGCTCTTCAAGCGCATTTTCACCCGACTCTTGAAGATCATCGACAATCACCAGCGCCGGGGCAGTACAATGCCCAGCACGCATTTCCAAAATCAGCCGAAAGTGGCAGGACAATGACAATGCAATGACAACGACAATGCTCAGACTCAGACAGTGACCCGCTCTCACTCCTCCGAGTTGAGCTCTTCCTCCGCCACCTGGGCGACAAGGCTGTGTCAAGGCACAGATGGGACACCATGCCTTTTAAGCACAATCAATTTATTAACCAAGCAGGCCTCCAGGTCGGACATGTTATCGCCGGCGCCCTCCTCGCCGTCGTGGCCGCCCTCCTCGTCATTGTCGTCCTCGGCACGCGGCTTCTTGCTGGCCGTCTTCTTGCCGCCCTGCTGAGACTTGCGGCGTTTCTTGTTGCTTCCCTTGGCGGCCTGCTTCTTGCCCTTCTTCGGCGGATTTCCGCCATTGCTGTCATCAAGCGTGAGAGCACTCTTGAGCAGCTTGGCAAGCGGGGCTTTGAAGTGCCGACTCTTGGCGTCCGTGAAGCTGTGGAAGATCAGCTTCTGGCACTCTGCGCGAAGCCAGGTGCAATGATCCGCTGTGTAGCCTGGTGGTGACATAAATAGAAGTCACTGTCACTGTCATTGGCCAACAACAACGACTACTTAGCAAAATTGGAAAACTACCCAGAAACTTGAAAAGCGTGGCTTGCAGACAAGGCACCCACAGCACACACCGGGATGCCCTGAGCCAGGAGAGGCAAAATTGTTGTCGGGCAAGATGCAGTGAGCAAGTACACCACACGAGGTTTGAACCTGTGGGCCAACTCCTCCACCAAGTGCTTGTGAGGGGCTGACCAATTGATGGGCTCCGGCACTCCAACCTCAGCTCCAGACGACGACCCAGCCGCCGCATCAGAACTTGACTTGCGCCTTCCCCTGGACTGGTCAGACACCCTGGCCGCTCCCAACAACTTGGCCTTCGTCTCGATGCCCAGGCGGGCGATGAGGGACTCGGCATCCAATGGGTTCTTCGACACTCCGTAAACACTGTCACCTGCTGTTGAGCCTTGGTGATGGAGATTCTTCCTGGACCCAATGATTTCGGCAAGGGGTGTGTCATTGGAGCTGACAACGTGGATCATCTCGAGCTGCTGGAGGTGGAACACCTGAGACACTGACTGCTGGCAACTGGACGCTGACAACGAGCGCACAGACTCACAAATTTAAAGCCCTTGACATGTGGCAACAAAAGGCCAAGAAACAGCTGCCTTTCTAATTAGAAAAGCACAACAACAAATCCATGTCATTGTCTGACTGGGCCTACATTTGTGAGATCTGGCCACAGGCGCAACATCGACACACCACCAGAACTTCAACACAAGACCTTACTTGCAAATGATTCGCGCGTGCACCTGTCAAGACGGAAGCTGACACTATTATTGTTATTTGTGTGGCATGGGCCAACGACGACTTCAAGCACTCAAGCAAGCGGCGGAGCGGTCCCGGGCGCCACCGCTCACAGCACGGGCCTCGCGCTCCAAAGGCTGAGTCATTGTCAAGACGGGAATGCAAGCATTGCAGACAGCATTGATGCACACGGACAGATCACAAGGAGAAGCAAACAACACAGGCTGCCTTGCGGTGCTCCGTGACGGCCTCTTCGCTGTAGATTAAGTTCACCCGCCTTTGGGCCACATTCCCGGCAGTCTTGGTGAACATGCTCGTGAAGTTGGTCCCATGCGTGGACCGCCCGCCATCAGTGAAGATATAGACATCACAAGCTTGCGGGCACAGCGCCGGGGCCTCATCTGCATCCCAGTCGGGCGCCTCAGGCTCCCTGATCGACATGGCAGCCATTATAGTCTTCTCGAGCTGTTCCCTCCTCAGCGGAGTCAGCGACCTCCTTGGGTCTGAGCTCTGTTCGCCGCTGCTTTCGTTGTCATACCAGAACAGCACAGTGCCAGCTTTGGGGCTGCCACGCACCTTGGACACCTCCAGGGCACGGAGGGCAAGGGCGAGCTGCTGGCATGACACTGACCCATCGACAGTTGACAAGAGAGATGACACCAGTGTCTTCGACTCGTCGACGGCATCCCGCACCTGCAACGCATCATCATCCTTCATTTCTTTGACAGTGACCTTGGCCTCGCTGGCGACAAAGGAGACAAACGAATCGAGCTGCTCGTCAGCCGACTGCAAAAAACTGTCATTGCCCGCCATGGGCACGGCGTCATTTTTCTCGGAGCCTGACACCTTCGACCATAGTGGCGCAACATCAGTGT